GCCATGCAAGCAAGACCTCCAAAGGATCTGTGCACGACGCATAGTGGACTCTCCTTTGTAACACCATATCAGGAAAGGGTGTATACAGTTGGAAAATTGCAAACTGTGCAATGCGAAATGAATTTTGCTTGTCACATTTAAAAAACATCACATCAGTTGCCTCAAAGTGTTCATGGAGTTGCTTGTGGAGCTGGGCCATTGAAAGCCCTCCTTGGAATGCTTTGGTGTATTGTGGTTCTGGAAGTGCTGTGTGGCCATAGGCGAGAATGTTTCCAAAATGTCTTTGAGCTCTACATTCAATTTCAAAAATAGACGAATGTGTAGGTGGTGCTGATCACCTTGATCCATGTAGTGCGACCAAAGATCAAACATGCAATGGGCTAGTCCAGCAATGTCACTGGCTCTGCCACGAAGTTTGGGGTAGCCTTTCTTGGGCTGGAACATTGTCAACTTGTCCAGTTTCATGCGATAGGGGTGCTTTGCTTGGTTTCTCTTCTGGTGTTGTCAAATAAAGACAAAACTCTCTTGGAGGTTGTCCATTTCGTCTCCAGGGAGGATGATGAACACCAAGAGATGCAGCAAGGAACCATAAGTAGGTCTCAAGTAACTCCTCATGTATTGCAGCAACAGCTCAAAAGGTGAAATCAGTGTGTCATATGAATTTGGATTCCCAAGTAAGTCTCAGGTAACACATCAGACCTTGCTGTTCGTTTTTTCCAGCTGCAGGTGAAGGCAAGTCAAACTGCACAGCACTATTGTGCAATCAGAGATTTTATTTTGATCTGAATACAAAGGATGTCCAAGTAGATTGGTGTCATCCTCATGTATGGGTTATCTTTGGATCATTTTCTGATGAAATGTTGATGTTTCCTGGATGAAAAATGCAATTTTTTATGAAAAATGATATGCAGTTTGTACGCAGTTTGTACGCAGTTTGTATGCAGTTTATATGCAGTTTTGAAACTACATACAGTTTTGGTAAAACTACATACACTTTTGTCAAAACCGTATGTAGTTTTAAAACTGCATATAAACTGCATACAAACTGCATATAGTTTTTTGCAGATTTTTGGATAAAATTATAAGTTTTCTGATGAGAACTGGTTCATCTTTGACCTTACATGTGAAGATGCTTCATGGGAATGTGGTTCAATGGACTCCCCAAGTAAGCCAGCAGTGCCATCCCTCTAAACCTTCTCAAGTGTTGCAACTCCCAAGGCTGAGTTAACTGCAATCCTCAAAATCTTCACATGTAAGTTCTCAAGTAATGCAGCTTCTAAAGTGCAACTTCACTGAAACATTCAAATGATCCACAAGTAAGTTCACAAGTAATGCAACTTCAAAGAATGAGTTCGCTGGAATGTCAAAACCATGACAAGTGAGTTCTAAAGTAATGCTGCATCTCCACATGATGACTCCAATGGGATCTTCAAAACCTTCGCAAGTAAGTTTCAAACAGTGCAACAAAACATGATAGAGAAAATCATGTTTTGGAATCATTGTATCACAAGTAAATTCTGAAGTAATGCAACTCCACATGAAACATGTCACAGGTAAAATCTCAAGTAAAGCAGCCTTTTTTCACAGTGCGCACTCTGCCAATATAGCTCTGAAAAGTTTTTTGAATTAAAGGCATCCATTGCTTACCAGTAAAACAAATTCACAAGTAAAGCTGCCAAGCCCAAAACATGCTATAAAGCGCTATGTGTAATGACTTTCATGTCAATCAGCAGGATCTCAACTAAATGCATAAAGACAATAGCTATGTTGCTGCCAGCTTTCTATGCCCAGAGCTTGTTCAACAAAGACAAGTCAAAATTCATCTAGTCACATCTAGTCAGTGTGGCAATGCAAAATCATGTTGCCACCTCCACAGTGAATTGCCTCTGAATGAAATGTTTGTCAGGGATTCCCTTGGCAGTGCTCAAACAGGAGAAGAAAAACATCCAGACATTGATGATCAGCATCCAAACTTTGTGCACCTAATACATTCCAAGAAGGTTGCTGTTTTTTTTTTTACCTGTGGTAATTTTGAATGCATGCCATATGCATTCTTCTTTCAATAAAATGAAACAAAGCATATTACAACCCTTCCAAAAGAAAACAAACCGGGTAATAACAAGTCCAACACTTGAAGATAAGAGGTCCAAAAATGAAATGCAACAATTCCAACAATATTCCAGAACCAAAATCATATGTTTTTTAAGTAAAGCCAACCAAAAAAGAAAAGACAAAATACAAAAACATGTACATTTCAAGGCAATTTGTCTTGCAATACTTCTCAGAAATTAAACAAAAAACATCAAACACTATATATTTTTTCAACCCAAAAAATGTCCAAAAAAATTACTTACCAAGTAAATTTAGTTTACTTACCAAGTAAATTAATTTACTTACGAAGTAAATTTACATTTACTATAGGGAAATTTAAGTAAATTTTCTTGTAAATAGCTAAATTTAAGTAAATTTTGTGGTTAGTAAATTTACTAGTTTCGGAGACTCAGGGTAGTGATTTTCCTTCTAAAAATCCTTTTAAAAAGTGCTTCAAAATCGTCTTTTTTTCGCTCTGGCGTCGAGATCCGGTTTTGGAGCTGCAGTTTCCGACGCCGTTGCGCGTAGTTCTTTTATGTTCTATTGTGTTTTGCAACTCAGTCACTGCAGATCGCATTGTAATGGCTGCGTCAAGGAGTTTTGAAGGAAGTCTCGCACGAAATGCGTTTTTGGCGCTAGTGATTTTCCTTCTTTCCTTTTAAAAAGTGCTTCAAAATCGTCTTTTTTCCGCTCTGGCGTCGAGATCCGGTTTTGGAGCTACAATTTCTGACGCCGTTGCGCGTAGTTCTTTTGTGTTTTGGAACTCAGTCTCCGCAGATCGCATTGTAATGGCTGCGTCAAGGTTGCTTCATGCTGTGGCTGCATTCGTAATACTATTGTCTTTTGCAGCTGGACTTCGTAAATCGTATTGGAGTGGCTGCATGAAGGCTGCGACATGGATTTGTTAGCAGATTTTCTCCATTTTGGCGCTAGTGATTTTCCTTCTAAAAATCCTTTTAAAAAGTGCTTCAAAATCGTCTTTTTTCCGCTCTGGCGTCGAGATCCGGTTTTGGAGCTACAATTTCCGACGCCGTTGCGCGTAGTTCTATTGTGTTTTGGAACTCAGTCTCCGCAGATCGCATTGTAATGGCTGCGTCAAGGTTGCTTCATGCTGTGGCTGCATTCGTAATACTATTGTCTTTTGCAGCTGGACTTCGTAAATCGTATTGGAGTGGCTGCATGAAGGCTGCGACATGGATTTGTTAGCAGATTTTCTCCATTTTGGCACTAGTGTTTTTTTGTTGCACGTAGGTTTAGAGCAGTGTGAAGTGTGGGGCGTGGAGAGTGCAGTGTGAAGTGTGCAGTGTGAAGGAAGCAGTGGGAAGTGAGAAGTGCGAAGTGTGGAGTGTGAAGTTTAAGTTTGGAGTGCGAAGAGCGTAGTGTGAAGTGTGAAGTGTGAAGTTTGGAGTGTGAAGGGGCAGTGTGAGAAGTGTGAAGTGTGAAGTTTGGAGTGTGAAGGAAGCAGTGAGAAGTGTGGACTGTGAAGTGTGAAGTGTGAAGTGTGGTGTGAAGTGTGAAGTGTGGAGTGTGAAGTGTGAAGTGTGGACTGTGAGTGTGAAGTGCGCAGTGTGAAGTGTGAAGTGTGAGGTTTGGAGTGTGAAGGAAGCAGTGAGAAGTGAGAAGTGTGAAGTGTGAAGTGTGAGTGAAGTGTGGAGTGTGAAGTGCGAAGTGAGAAGTGTGAAGTGTGAAGTTTGGAGTGTGAAGTTTGGAGTGGGAAGGAAGCAGTGAGAAGTGAGAAGTGTGAAGTGTGGACTGTGAAGTGTGGAGTGTGAAGTGCGAAGTGAGAAGTGTGAAGTTTGGAGTGTGAAGGAAGCAGTGAGAAGTGAGAAGTGTGAAGTGAGAAGTGTGAAGTGTGGACTGTGAAGCGTGGAGTGTGAAGTGCGAAGTGCGAAGTGAGAAGTGTGAAGTGTGAAGTGTGAAGTTTGGAGTGTGAAGGAAGCAGTGAGAAGTGAGAAGTGTGAAATGTGGAGTGTGAAGTGTGAAGTGTGAAGCGAGAAGTGTGGACTGTGAAGTGTGAAGTGTGAAGTGTGGACTGTGAAGTGTGAAGTGTGAAGTGTGGACTGTGAAGTGTGAAGTGTGCAGTGTGAAGTGTGAAGTGTGAGGTTTGGAGTGTGAAGAAGCAGTGAGAAGTGTGGAGTGTGAAGTTTGAAGTTTGGAGTGCGAAGAGTGCAGTGTGCAGTGTGAGGTGTGGAGTGTCGAGGGAAGGACACGGTCGGGACAGGTTGTCTTGGAACTATAGGTCATTTATGTTTGGGAAACTTCCGCCCCCGGCTTGCCCGGGTCTATGTTATAAACTTATAAACCATTATATAATACCATTAGTATACCATTAGTATACCATTAGTAAACGCCCGTGTACATCCTTAAACCATCTTAAACCAATCCATTGGTCCTTGAGATACAGAATCCGCTTGGATTTCGCGGACGGTGAATCTGGGGCGTTCCTAATAAAATTTTGGGGTATACGGTATACCGGTATACCCCAAAAACGCTGGATGGTTTATTTGGAGATACCCCCATGTTAGGAAAGCTCCATATACAAATATACACGATAAATGTCACAATTTATCGTGAAAAAACCATAGCAGTCTATCCAACCATGCATGTATCTAGACATTTCCTAAACAAGATATGGGGATGATCAAAACCCTTTTGCTCTGTCAGACGGCTTCTATTGATCCAGAGTCATCTCAGAGCTGGGGAAGAACCCCATAGCTAGTCGAACAAGAGAACATGTTGTGAATGGCCATTGGATGTTGAGGAAAACGTGGAAGAACTTCTAAATTTATATGGAAACTCCAGAAAGATAGCTAGTTGAATAACATTAATTTATCAAAAGGGAAAATGATGATCTATGAGTAGATGTTCATCTCAGTTGGTATTGTTAAGTTCTCCATCCCGCTGCTTAGGATCAAAAATCACCATGTTGCCGAGAAGGGACAGGTGTTTGAGGAGGTGTGGGAAAGCTTCAAGAGCTTTGATTTGTCTTGGGAAATGCTCAACCGTTTTTCATGGGTAAACCATTGTAAACCATAAACAGTGCGAATTAACGCCATGAAAATAATCTTTAAATGTGGATTTTACATGATTTTACCATCATTCATCTATTTGTTTATTCAAATAGATGATAGTGGTGGGTTTAAATCCTTCAAACATGGAACCCACAAACTGTAGTTTGAAACAGTCAAGAAAGACAGATTTGCGGCTTGACAGTGTGACAGTACCATCAATTTTTGGGTTTTAACAGCCACACTATAGTGGTTTTAGTCGCAAAGATAGTAGTTCTAGCAGCCAAAATCAGGGTTGCTCCAAGCCACGATAGGTGAATCATAGCGTCTGGGGCTGTAAGTTGCTTGCTATCGGGCCAATGTGAAACAATCTTACTTAGATGCGTATCCCACTTGGGAAGTGTTTCATAATGATAGTAAGGTCATTAATTTTGATGAGTTTGATTGAACATAACCCCTGAAATCCATTGGTTACTCCTCATGTTCCCTATTGTTTAAGTGTCAACACTCATTTTCGGACACACACACACACATATATCAGATTGTTGGCTACATACATACTCATTACACCAGCATTATGGTTGATTCTATACCCCTATCTTTCTTGGCAGAAATCCTAATTCCGAAATTCCAAACCCATAGGATCCATGTATGGTATATATAGTAACATTGGGGGTATATTGATGGTAAATGTTACCATATATACCATACATGGATCCTATGGGAAAATGCCATTCCATACATTTCATATCCGAGTGGTTCACACCCTCCCAGCTGCAGATGGTGTGTACCGTGATCTTTTGTCTTGAGTTCGCTCTCATGTTGGTCGCCGGCAAGGGCCGTTGCTTGACGATCCAGGGATTTATGGATGGTGCTGTGTGGAACTGGGTTATGGCCTAGTACACATCATCATATCATGTATGTATTTCATGCTGGTGGAGATGTGTATTTCTCTCTCTCTCTACATATGATATATATATATATATACAAACATAAGAATATCTACATATGATTAGATTACAGTGTGGATATATAGAAAGGAATTTATATATATATACAAACATACACAATATAGTTATATATATTATATTATATACAGTACATATTATATTATATACAGTATATTATATTGAAATTACATATATAATATACCATCCCTCCAACCAGCGTATTGTGACATCAACGCAACGCCAAGTGCAGCAACCCAACCAGGGCGGGCCTAGGGTATCCAAGATATCCAAGGTCCGAGTGAGTTGGATGGCATGGAAATTTCCATGGGAAAAGGATGGAATCCCATGCCCCGTTCATGTGATAATGCTGGTTAATGATGGTTAATAATAATTAATGGATAATCAATGGTATCTAAATAATGAGAATGATAATTAATGCTGGTTAATGATGGTTAATGATTGCGAAAAGGATTGGAATAGCATCCGTTCATGGTGGTTTATGATGGTTAATGATAATTAATGGTTTTCATGAATGGTATCTGAATAATGATAATTAATGATATCTAATGATCATGATGGATAATTAATGGAATCTAATGGAGGTTACCGTAATGATAATGATAATTACTATGATAACCAATGGAGGTTCATTATCATAATGAGAATTATCTAATGGAGGTTACTGTAGTGATAATGATAATTAATGCTGGTTAATGCTGGTTAATGATGGTTAATGATGGTTAAAACACCGCCTAATGGTGGTTAATGATGGTTACCATCGGGTTATTTAACATAGCCATGGAAATTACCATTTTTGATAGGTAAACCATCTATAAATGGGCCATGTTCCATGGCTATGTTAAATAACCAGATGGTAATAATAATTATACTTAATGGATAATCAATGGTATCTAAGTTGAAAATTGCATTAATCAAAACACCCCGTTCATATTAAACACCCCCTGGCCACGAAACCATGGTAAAAAGGTAGGGAATGTCCACATTTTTTGGGGACGCATTTGGGGTGTTTAATATGAACGGGGGATGGGATTATTTGAAACCATGGGATGCACATTGAACATGAATTTGGAGATGCCGATTTGTAGAAACGCCATGTACGGTGCAGGATCGATGAAACCTCGTATTTCTCCGATCCATGCAATGTTTGTAGAAGTCATATGTCCATAGCGTTGGCAGTTTTTTTTTAATGTTTATTTGATCAATGGCCATTTCAGGAACCTATATAAATTGGAGGTACCTACCATATATAAGGTCTATATAAGGCCTATGTAAGGGAATATCCCCAGAAAATATGGCCTTATATTGTACAGTACCTCCATTTTAGGATCCTGAAATTCCCATTGATTTGATTTGCCTGGCACTGATTGGATTTCTTGCGGATGCTCGAAGCCGAAACGAAGACCGGTTTCGATCTCATTTATCAAAAGGATGCCCAATGACTCAGGGGTTTCCAGTTTCACAGTGGGATGGCCTTGATCCATGAAACTTGACATCGGTGATGTGTTGGTTTACCCTCCAGTTTGCTCAAACATGGCAACTGGAAATCCGCTGTAAATGGAGTTTTATAGCTGGGAAAATCCACTACAAATTAGTGATTTTCCATTGCCACGTTTGATTACCGGAGAGTTTGTTGATTTCAAATGCTGGTTGGTGGTTTGGAACATTTTTTATTTTCCCATAGATTGGGAATCATAACCCCAACTGACTTTCATATTTTTTCAGAGGGGTTGAAACCACCAACCAGAATATTATTAACCATCATTAACCATATATTAACCATATATATATATAACCATACATATATATAACCATATATATATATAACCATATATATAACCATATATATAACCATATATATAACCATATATATAACCATATATATAACCATATATATAACCATATATATAACCATATATATAACCATAAATATAGCCATATATATTTATATATAGCCATATATATAACCATATATATAACCATATATATATATATAACCATATATATAAACATATATATAACCATATATATATATATAACCATATATATAACCATATATATAACCATGTATATATATAACCATATATAATAACCATATATATAAAACCATATATATAACCATATATATAACCATATATATATATAACCATATATATAACCATATATATATATACGACCATATATATATATAACCATATATATATATATAACCATATATATATATATATATAACCATATATATAACCATATATATAACCATATATATAACCGTATATATAACCATAAATATAGCCATATATATTTATATATAGCCATATATATAACCATATATATAACCATATATATATAACCATATATATATAACCATATATAACCATATATATAACCATATATATAACCATATATATATATATATAACCATATATATAACCATATATATAACCATACATGTCCATTCATCCAATCCCATTTGACCAGGGTCATGGCCTAGGTCAAGGAAGTCACTGGTATCTCTTTCGTTTCGTGGACCGGTGGGATGCTTCTACGTCTGTAAATACCCTCTGGTTATGTCAAAATAGCTATTGAACATGGCCCATTTATAGTTGATTTACCTATTAAAGATGGTGATTTTCCAGTTCGCTATGTTAGGCTATGTTAGTTTACCAGAGGGTATATGAACAGGACATCTTTCTTTTGTTAGTTGAGTTGTGTTCCTCCCTGAAGATCTAGTCAAATTTAGTGGAATTGGGCCTTCATGGTGTTTTTTCGTCATGATTTATACAATCTTAAAGTGAGAGATATTTGATCCCCACAATGTGATGCCCCCCAGTTAGAAGTTGCTTTAGATTCGCCCTAGTAACTATAGTTATAATGCCCATAAACCATAGTGAAATTGGACTTATTTGTACCAAGTTAGCTATCGAACGGGGGCCTCACATTGCACAATGTGGTGCCCAGCAGTCAAAGTTGGTTTATCAAAGGATGTTTAGTTGGCAAACTTCGGAGTCTAGGACAAATGTCAAGGGAAAGTTTTCACATCACCATGCCAACCATATTGCTGGGTAAATTATAACGACCTCACTGTTCTCCCTCACTGGAATCATAGTTAATAAGGGAAATCATCCCCAAATGGCCGAACAATTCAGGTTAGTGAAATATTATAATTTACCCAGAATATTGGTGACGCAACACTCAGGTTGGAAAGTTGATGGTAGCAATCAGTGGAACATTTGAAAAGTGGGTGACTTTGAGTCAGGGAGCCTGTGAATTTGCGGGTGGAAGGATTGGAAGTGAGCGAAACGCGGGCGGAAGAACCTGGGCAAAAAAAATCACCAGACTGTAGCGAGCGCTCGATTTTGTCCCAACACGCCATCCCACTGCATGGTCGGACCACTTTTGAAAGATTGTGTCGCAAAAATGTTGCTAAACTCACCGTCATGGCTGCAAGAAGTGAAGACGTGGATCACAGAAGTGGTCAGAGAACATTTGGCGAGAAGAGTTGAGACAAAAATTGCTGCTAGATGGCGTGACCCAGAGAAGTAGCTTGAGTAGTTGAGAAAGAGAAGAGGTAGCTTAGCGATGCAGCAGCTGAGAGAAGAAGTCGCTCCGAGAAGAGAGAACTTACAGTAGCACGGAGAAGAGTGAATTTGCTCTCACTCACCCACTCATTCATTCATTCATTTATTCATTGATTGGTTCTTTCTTTCGACATTTGTTGCGTTCACGAATTTGTTTGTTTGTTCGTTCATTCATTCCAATTCTCTTCGCTTCATTTATTCATCCATCCATCCATCCATGCATGCATGCATGCATGCATTCATTCATTCATCTATTCATTCATCCATCCATCCATTAATTAACCATGGATTTTATCATGCTAGCAGGGTGCGACGGGATATAATATATATATAGTGATATAATGTATGTATATATATATATGTTTTGATATAGTCATATTCCTCTATATTTTGAAACCCATATAGTCATATATATATATCACCTATATCATGTATACATATTTATGACATATGGTTTCCGAATCTAGGGTAACTCAAAATCCCTTGGCCATCAGTTTCCTCATGAAATTTGCCATGGGGGGAATCTCTCCACTCGACAGACCCACTGGGTAGATGCCTTGCGTCTAATCATGTAGGGCTTTCCATGGGGGTACCCGAATAGCTGGATGGTTAGCGGAAATCCCTACACTATTTTAGTCACTAAAACCCATAGGATCCATGTATGGTATATATGGTCACATTTACCATCAATATACCCCCAATGCTACTATATATACCATACATGGATCCTATGGGAAATGGATGATAACTGGGGGTACCCCTATCGGAAACCACCAGACGTGGTGGTTTTTTTTTGTCCGCAGGACTTCATTTGCATTTTCCCCGGGATCATGGAGATCTACCAGATGCGAACCGAATGGCATCTCGACATTGACCAATTGCCCCCCAAACGTTGATGGGTGAAAACATTGACTTATCCAGTGAATATGGAAATTTATCTGTTTTTTTTCAGTGATGAATATGTTGAAACATGTTTTTTACTGGTACTGTAAGTTGATTTATAACTGGGCAAATTATTAGAGTTAGCCATGAGGACAGGGCTTGCGTTTCACCATCCAGCACGGGGTCCACCCAATGGATGGTTTTCTGGAAAATGAGGTTTGACTGCTGCCAGTCCATCCTGCGGGGATTGAGCATCAAACATTGGGAGGTACCCTCTGGTAAACTAACAGTTTGCTATTGAAAATGTCCGAAAATGAAAATGGCCATGAAAAATGATGATTTTCCATAGTTATGTAAACGTTTACCATAAAATGATGGTTGGTTGATGAATGCAGGGGGTCTTACCATCGCTCCGATCCTGGTAAGCTGATATGAAACCTGGGGTAGTTGGGAACAGCTTGTAACCACTATTAACCATTTGTTAACCACTATTAACAATTTATTAACCACTATTAACATCTATTAACCATTTATTAACCACTATTAACCATTTATTAACCACTATTAACCACCCTAACGATTCCTCGGACAAATCCTCACCAATATGTAATCTGTGGTGGTTTTATTTCAAAGTGGTCAAGAGAGTCAAGTGGGAAGTTTCCTTTTAGGATTATCCTGGATTTGCTGGAGATGGGTTTGGTTTCAGTTTTTCCATTAGCTAATCTATCAAGTGGTTGTTGGTTGTGATTCTCCTAAAAGACTTTGGTGATATTTGTATACGGCATTTCATCACGCTGTGAAGAAATTCAACTTGACCAAATGGCTGGTAGGTTCGACTTAAGCAATGCCCAGTTTATACCTGGTTGATTGTGAAAATTGTGGGTACCAACTGAAGCTAACAAGCGGGGCCACGAAACATGGGATTGGTTTCCTGAAACATGGGATGATGATGATGATGATGATGATGATGATGATGATGATGGTGATGGTGATGGTGATGGTGATGGTGATGGTGATGCTGCTGCTGATGATGATGATGATGATGATGATGCTGATGGTGATGGTGATGATGATGATGGTGATGGTGATGGTGATGGTGGTGATTGCTGTTATTCCTGCGGGTTTGTTTCTTGTTGATTTTTTCATTGTTATTGTAATTGTTATTGGCATTGTCATTCACAATTCATTGTTCTTTGCATGTTCACATATATATATATATAGAATATATATATATACACATACACACTGTATATATATATATGTGTGTGTATCACCATTCCTTGTTTGCTGAAATTCTAGTGACTGGTTGAATTCAAATTGTGAACTCATCCAGCCCGGCCGTAGCCAGTGAAGCAGTAGATTTAGGAGATGACAGGTTTGGTGAACTGGGCACTGCTGAGACTGAACAACGTGCTTCTCAAGAAGCCGCTGTTTTACATGGTCTTACTGGTGCGTTTTACGTAGGGAATGGATGGATTGCTGGGGGTTGCTGGGATGATTATTACCAGTGATTATGGATCATTCCCTCATTCCCTGCTAAGCACAAGTAAGTTTAACATGGTTTAACATGATTTAACACGATTCAACCACCTCCCAAACATGACCTCCTCCCAATAATAAGGGTTCGTTCAGGCTTATTAAACACCAACCACAATTCATTGTAAACCATCTCAGCAGTGTTCAAAACCCTCTGTCGTCCCTTGATACTGGCTTCATAATGGATTTTAATAATTCCCAAGAATATAGGGTAGTATAGTATAAACCAAGATGGGAATTAATATTTTAATAACATCCCAAGATTTTAATGATTAATAGTATAATCGCCTAAAAATCATTCACCAACCCGGGTTTTGAATAGTGCTCATCTATTCTCTGGGGCGTTCCCTGGAGTAGTTCAATCCTCGGATGGTCTCGAATCCCCGCAAACATACAAGGCTTGGGGTGCTCTTTCAGTGGTCATCATTGACCACTACTCAGTCACTACTATTCTGAATATTCCTCTAGAATTCCATGATTTGTGGATCCCGCTGTGAATTCGAGTGGCGTGTTTGAAAAACGCCAAAACGCCACTCGCTGATGAACCAGGCAGAGACTCCATGAACTGGGCGAAAAGTGTCTTGAAGAAAGCAGCGAAAAGATTCTGGGTACCCGGCCTGGTAAACTGGCCCATAAAAACGATGGAACATCACCATGCTATTAACGGGAACATCCACTATAAATGGTCCATGTTCCATAGCTATGTTAGTTTACCAGAGGGTAAAGCCATGTTTTGGTCGGCTCATGGATTTGGCCTCACTGTTCAGGTTATGTTAATGATTCTGGGAGCGAAAAAAGGTCATTGAACCATCAAAGATTTTGGGTAAATAAATAGCGACCTCACTGTTCTCCCGAACCCTCAATAGGTTAGTGAACCATTATAATTTATACCTAGAACATGGAGTTTTGACCAAGAATTGATGATACAATGTGGATATACGTTTTGAACCCAGAATCAAAAACAATGCAATTCGACTGGATCGGCACTTTAACTTTAGTACTTCAATCATTTGGTGTAGATGGGGATATTGTAACCAACTAAAACAATTGCAGCTTTCTACGGCTTGTTTCACGCATTGTTGCTCTTTCAAGCGTCCAATGTTTGGGGTACAGTACTTCAGTTGACCAAGAATCAAAAGGCCGTCAGGGGTACAATGTGGGGCCCCCAAGATAGCTAAGTTGGTTTATAAATCCCATTGACTATAGTTATATCTGCCATAAACCATAGTGAAATTGGACTTATGTTCACCAACTTAGCTATCTTGGGGGCCTCACATTGTAGGCAATATTTAAGGGTGAGCCTCTAGAGAACATCTACTTCCGACCGGCCAAGGAGTTCCTCGGGTCCAATCCCATAGGATCCATGGTGCTATATATGCTAACATGACTGGGGTATATCGATGGGATCCATGTTAGCATATATAGCATACATGATATACATGGATCCTATGGGAATTCGGCGATGACTTCTGGACGACTCTCAGCAGGAGTGACTCTGAGTACAACTCGATCGCGAAGGATCTCCTGCGATGCGCCTGGAGAACGGGGAGGTTGCGACGCGCAGTACCTGGATGCCTTGTCAAAGCGCACGATCGACAACGTGGTGAACACCACCATGTCAAAGATTGAGGGCTCTGAGATCAGTGGGATGTTCACCAGCTCGCAGCAGATCAGGAAGTTGGAGGATTACCACCACAGACTCTTTCACACACTACTCTGTCACATACAGTATTGTCACACGCACACACACAACATTTTCACACACACACACACCATTTTCACACACAACTGATCCAATACAACAAATACATACAAATACAACATTGTCACATACAGCTATGTCATACATGCACACACAACTCAGTCAGACAACACTCTGTCGCACACAACGTCGCATGCAACTCAGCAGACAAATCTCCGTCACATGCAACTCTGTCACACACAAGATTGTCACATCCAACTGTCTGGTTGGTGGTTTGGAACATGAATTTTATTTTTCCATATATTGGGAATAATCCTCCCAACTGACTTTCATATTTTTCAAAGGGGTAGGCTCAACCACCAACCAGCTGTCCTCATGTACCCGTGGCAGGCATGGCATTTGGTCAAGGGATGTCTGACACGGACACCTGCTGATATTGATACACTGCACTGGGGATTTTGACATATTAGAAGTTTCCCATACGTTCCCTATATAATCCCACATTTTTCCATAATTCTCACAGAGCTCCCCATGTATTGCTGACTTTACCTTATTGTCCATGCTATGTCAGCAGTTTCGCCCCTCGCAAGGATCGAAAAAAGTGATGAGGACGCATGGATTCAGGAGCTGCTGAGACATCCGGAGTGGCGACCGGATCAGGGAGCCGGTAAATTCCCAATCATGTTTTTTTTGTTGGGGAAACCCAGGAGGTTGGGGCTTATGGTACCCCAAGCTATGTTTGCTGGTATCTTTATCGTATCCTTATGGTCTAAATCCAACAGAGACCATCCCGAACCAACTGGATAGTAGTTTAATCCTGGGGTTTCTTGCTAGAAATGGAAAATAACCACAACCAACCAAAAAAAGTTGTGGACTACCAGAGATTGACCATGAAATGGTGCGTTATCCATTGGTAACTACTGGGATTCCTATGAAACCCTGTAAAGAATGGGATAGCAATGGGATTTTGCCCATCTACCAACTGGTGCAGGAAATTATTGTCTAACTGGGTTTGTCTGAACATAGTGTATCCCTAAATCCATTGGTTTACCATCATTTTCTATGTATATAATTGTATGACTATATATATATACTGTACATATATATATAATTACAATGAGCCATGTTATGAGTGTCCCCACAGACAGACCCATGTGTTTGATGTTTTAAACCCCCATTACCTATAGTTATAAATATCATGTTAACATTCATAAACCATAGTGAAATTGAAGTGAGTTTTATACCAACTTTGCGATTTTTGTTGATCCCGGGGGGGTCTCCATACATTTCTATGCTCTAAATCCTTGGTGAAATCCAGCGCCCAAGATGATCCCGTGGTGAAATCCAGGACTGGAAGATTGCGATCGATGCTTTTCAGATGTCGGGTCGCCTGGGGACGCCTGGAGCTGGCTCAACTTGGTAAATCGATGATCGAATCCAGGGAAAATCGAACTATGAATCAACTGGGTAATCATCAGCACTGGGTAATAACCAGTATATAACCAGTTAATGATGGTTAATGATGGTTCATAATGGTTGATGATGGTTAATGATGGTTATTATAAGTTTCATGGCGGGTGTTCCATAGAGTTTTCTGGATATTTTACCAGAGGCAATTATTTCAAAACACATTGCCCGTCTACTTTTGTCAATGGAATACTTATCTTGTTGGTGGTTTGGAACATGAATTGTATTTGTCCATTAATATTGAGAATAGTAACCCCAACTGACGTTCATTTTTTTCAGAGGGGTAGGTATACCACCAACCAGTAAATATATAGTTAGTTTAAGCACTAAGCACTACAGTAGTACAGTATTTCAGTAGTGGTAAATTAGCACTAACCTAACCAGTAATATTTCACTAGTGGTAAATGAGTTTTCAACTTGGTCAACCACTTCTAATCCGAGAAAAATCGAAGAAACGTGAGGGTGAAATTGGAATTAGTAGTGGTAAACCTTCTCTGGATGGCTCATTTTTAGTATTTCTAGGTCGTTTTTTTCATAGGGATCTATGCTAGTCAGCCAAAAACAATGGGTTTCAAGATGATTATTTAAGCATGAAACAATAGCAAAAAACATGGTTTCAGCAACCAAACCAATCAACAAACATTTTCAGGAGATATCTGGGGGCATCATCTGGTAAAAAGGTGGGTATACTCTGACCAGCTGAAAAGATGCAGAGGTATCTAATCCAAGATTGGCAACGCAATATGATTTGTGAGGGTACAAATGGGTAAATCAAGTGGCGAGTGTTTGGTGAAAACTTGTGTACATATATAGATATATTCGCGCATTTCTCGAGATGCAAATGCAAATGCTTATGCGCACAAAATTGTGTACAATTTTCACACACACAATACATAGTATATCATATCCTTTAGTTTTTGGCTATACATGGAAAATAAACACAAGCAGCAACAGATTACATTTTGTTGTGGACTAATTACCAGTCAGATTGACCATGGACCAATGGAAACCAATGGAAACTGGATAAAAAAGACGGTGAGTTATCCTTCGGCTACGCTGATTAATCTTTTCATAAAATCTGGTCAGTTGGTTCAACGCTGGTTTGCCGTTGGATGTTAGTGGTGGATATATGATACTATGATACCCTCTGGTAATTTGTTACATAGCTATTGAAAATGGCCCATTTATAGTTGATTTACCTATTAAAGTGGTGATTTTCAATAGCTATGTTAAATTACCAGAGAGTCTACAGTTGGATGGCAGGCACACGTTTGTGATATCTACAGTTGGATGGCACGTACATTTGACCAATTTAAGACTCACCTGGGCCGCGTTGTGATGATTTTCAGTGGAGTTGCCCGAGTTCCCTGTTTTTGAAAAGATTCCTTTGACGTCTTGAAATGGAAGTAAGCTCCAGGGCGATATTGGATTTATCTTAGAGTCTTTGGCCATATTATTGTTTCGGTACAAAGAAAATTGATTTCTGCCCGTTCAGTTGTCACTCCTTGCAAGTGTGCTTTCAGTCTTCTGTATCCTCTGGTAGTTTAGTATAGCTATTGACATTGAACATGACCAATTTTGATAGATTTGATAGGTAAATCATCTATCAATGGCAATTTTCCATGGCAAACAAAGAGTTAAATTACCAGAGGGTAGTGAGGTACTTCGACTTTGTGAAACTCTGCTCACATGGCTATTGAGATGTCACGGGATATTTTCAGGACCCCGAGGGCCAAAACCAAAAATTCAAGTGCTGTACCCGGCCTGGTAAACAAACATAGCTATTGAAGCCATGGCCCATAGAAATAGTTGATTTACCCATTAAAAATGATGATTTTCCATAGTTTTGTTAATTTACCAGAGGGTAACATCTCAAAATCTTGTGAGAACTCCACAATCCATTGGTTAATCATTCATATAGTATATAGTAACATGATTTTTCCCTGTTGAAATATCAGTATGGAGAATATACCCCATTTCAGGTACTGCGCCCAAGTACTTGCACATGAACCTATGAAAAAATCTTGGGTTGGCAGCTTGAGATTCCTGCTGAATTGGTATACTCAAATTCCTGGAGTCCGTAACAATCGCAAAAAAACATGCCCGGGGTCAACGTGAGAAAAATAAATGGTCACTGACCAGTGACCGGAAAAAAAAACGAAAAATCATAGCCGTTTGAAGGTCACACCCTGCAGTATGTGAGTTCTTAAGGACTCTATTCCTATTCCAATGACTAATCGCTTTGCAGACCTCAGACACTAAGAAAAGATGAATTGCCAAGTCAACCAACTGGATGAGTAGTTTAATCAGTTTAATCCTTTAGTCTTTTGCGATTTCAATAGGAATATCTACATTTTCCAGCCAACTTTTTTTTTGCAGGATATCTAAGATTGGGATAAGTACCCACCTTGGCTGCTTAAAGGCATCCGCACAGAGATCAGCAGGGTCTTCAGCCACCAGTATGCACGCCTCGCACGCCCGAGAGAAGGATGGATCATTTTCTGTGTTTTTTTCTCTATCGTTCCTTCTTGTTTTTGTGACGCGTTTGGTTCTTTCTGACATGTTCTGTCTGCTTTTGGCTTGCGGCCTAAATCCTGCCAAAAAAGGTCTTGGCAAGCCTGCTCATTCAAGGCTTTCATTGCGTGCTTCATTGGTCGCCTAACTTCGCTGCAATCTTGCGACAATTGTTCTTTTAGCGGGCTTTATCCGGAGGTTCGAGCTTTCCATTCTGCGATTCTTCCCTGATTTTGCTGCCCCATGGCATGCGCACCTGGTCCACATAGGCCCGATCAACAGATTGGATCAAGTGAAGCCTATTGTCGGCGTGTCCGGTGGGATTGAAACAAAACCCATGACGGATCCATGGTGCTGCTATATATGGTAACATGGATCCCATCAATATACCCCAAATGTTAGCATATATGGGTATGGATCAATACCTATTAATTTTATTTTTAGGGGGATGAACATCCATAAATCCCAGCTATTTTGATGTGAACTACAGGGGTACAAGGTTTTGACACACTGCTATATATATATACCAGCACCATGGATCCGTCATGGGAAATGACATTGTGGGCCATTCGGGGCCCTTTCCACTCGCCATGACTGAGCCGCGCTCAGGATTCGAGTCATTCGCATCCTTTTCTGGCACCAATGGCGACATGAGGCGACGTGGGAATGGACCCTGTGGTTTCATAGTTCAGGCATTGGTATTATGATGTATTTTATGGGAAACGACCACAAATGGGCCCTGAGAATATCATTTATATGGACCCTGAGCAATGGACCCTGTGGTTTTATGGGAGTATCATTTGGAAGCGTTCAAAATAAAATCTGACCCCCCAAAGCCAAGAATGGAATGGTGGTGCATTGCAGTTGAATTCATCGATATATACTTTCGGGATCGATTCTTGATGGTTTTGCAAATATATCGGAGAATCCTTCCATTGACTAATATTTTTCAGAGGGGTTGAAACCACCAACCAGTCATGTTTTTTGCGAGTCATTTGTACCTATTTGTTTGTGAAATCAACATGTTGGATGTGATTCAGAGTGAACTCCAACCAATCATGGCAAAAAAACACCATATTTGACTGTTTTGTTTTCATTTTTTTTTCTTTGGAGGATGCAATAGCTGCTCTACTCCATCGAAACAACCGTGTCACACCCTTCATGAATCGGATACATGCTGTATATATATATATATATAATATAACATTATATAACTCTAAGTCTATATATATATATACAATTATATATATATTTTATACCTTTCATATGCAATCTATTGATCCCTACATGCCTACAATTTTTTCATGCGTATATATATAATATATATATATATGTATATATATATATACATACGCATGACCGCTTGAAGCCCCAAATGCCATCCGTTGCAGGTCCAAGTGGTGGTAGATGGCATTGTCTCCGCAGGCCGGTGATCCCTGGTCATTGTCGCCAAAATTTGGAAAAAATGTCAGTTGGTTTGGAGGATTATGGTTCTATCATTTGGTTACCACATCAAACCATAGGGGTATAAGTGGATCATAATGGGATGTAATGAGGGTATACCAACTGCATTGGGAATATCTATTATTACTGGCTGGTGGTTTGGAACATGAATTTTATTTGTCCATTCAGTTGGGAATAAGCATTCCAACTGACGAACTCTATCATTTTTCAGAGGCGTAGGTATACCACCAACCAGTTTGGTTATCATATCAAACCATGAATCACCATCTATACGGACCAGTTTGGAATGTGGTTTATGATGCCCCAAACATTGCAAATTTCGGAAGGTGGGGATGGTTTATCAGTAAATTTTTCACAGGCATTTTGGGTAATGATCATGAATGATCGCAATTGATGGTATATGATTGCAAACAACGGCGATATCCATCAGTTCCTTCGGCTAGCTGAATGATGTTTTTGTTGGAAACGAAACCAATCAAACAGGTTCATCAAAAACATAATCCTGTTTGTTGAGAGCATGTCATTTAACTTAAGTGTATAATATATAATATGTGTGTGTGTTGTGTTTTTGATGCATGTTTTGTTTTGTGTGAGTCATCCCCATTTGCAGATTATTCTGCATTAGTAGGTAGGGTGATAGGAAAGAGCTATGTGTTCTCCGCCTTTTGCAGGTCCTATTATGGTTGTAGCTTGGCTGAAGTTGGTTGGGGCAGTGACCACTTGATCTTGATTGATTAGTGGTGCCCCCTGCGTACCTAACATGCCTAAGTTGGTTTATCAGTAGAGCAACGAGGGTTTATGGATGTTTATGGCGATCAGAACAAGACTTAGATGATGAGGGCACCACCTTGTTGCTGGTTTACTACAATGTGAGGCCCCCGTTCGATAGCGTTCAGTTGGTGAACATAAGTCCAATATCTATGGTTTATGGCGTTTACAAGTATAGTTACTGGGGCTTTTGTTAACCAACGTTCACATCACTGGGGGCCCTCACATTGTAGGTTTTGGGTTCAACCCATAATGAGAATCCCGCCCATCAGCGAGTAAAAAGGGATTACATACCCTGTGGTTATTTAACATAGCCATGGGAAATGGCCCATTTATAGATGGTTTACCTATTAAAAATTGTGATTTCCATGGCTATGTTAAATAACCAGAGGGTAGCGGGTTCTGAACACTGCTTTGGTCTTGTTTCAAAGACACTGTTTGTCAAGTTGTTGATCCATGCACATGCATGCATCTTTCATTCTGCGCGTATGTATTGTGCAAACTATTGTGAACGAACAAAATGACCCACGATCCTTTATGACTTATGATGTCCCATTGAAGATTGTTGGTCATTTGCCATGTATACAGTGTATATATATATATATATATGTAGATCTATAATATCACTTATACACACTTATACTATCATATACATATAATTATACATATATAATACATATATACACATATATATATATACATATACATGAACATCAGATAGAACTATATATATATATATTATGATGATATGGATATCCACTGCAAGGTAAAGACAAATATTACTTCACTGCATTCCAACATCCCATGCGATCGCGCTGGCTTTCCAAAACTTGCAATTATTGTGTGTTCAGATAATATTGATCAGATAATGAATGACAGTGACTTCCTTAGTATTAATACAAACTTTTGAAGTCATTAATTATTGAATGACAATGACTTCGTTAGTTTGCATCATTTCGACAATACAATTCAGTGAACTAGCACTCTTCAAAGAGTTTTTCTCATATCACTTCTGAGCAGTATATTTCGATGGGCCTTGTATGTGAATTCCATTGTATCATTTGAAGGCAGATGAATGCCATAGTGGATATAATGGCATAGTACTCACATGATGTGAAAAATGATGGGTGTTTGACAGAGCGGATTTCAGTTTCAAACTGTTGATGCCATGTTTTCCCACCTAAGTTTGAGATGATAATCCCACATGAGACATGTGGGGACGGGATATAAACACCCTCTGGGAATCAAATCTAGCTGAGAAATCCAAGAAATGTACAATGTGACTCCCCCAAACAATAGCTAAGTTGGTGCTAAATAACTCCAATTTCACCATGACTTGTGGTACTTATATGTACTTATAACTGATAGTATTTTGGTATTATTTTAAGCAACATTCACATCACTGGAGGGCCCCACATTGTGATGTTTTTCACCCTTGAGATGCTCAGCCACAATGAGCCATGGAGCCATCATCACCCAATGGGAGATCTTCAAGATCCAATACATGGAGGTACGTTAGTACCATATAAGGCCATATTTTATTGGGATATTCCCTTACATAGGCCTTATATAGGCCTTGTATATGGTAGGTACCTCCAAGAAATCGGTTCCTGGCATGGCAATTGAATTACCATTTTCAATTGGTAAATGGACCATGTTCCATAGCTATGTTCAGTCACCAGAAAATACCCAATTCTACAAGGTCGTGCCCCAGTTCACTAGTTAAGTTGGTAACCACAACTATGGACGAAGCTAATGAATGGGTTTATTGTAGATATATCGAACCAGTTCATGGGGTTGTAATCCAATTTTTAATTGGAGTGGACCACATTCTAACCACCTATATCAACCAATCAACCATGATTTATCAGTCAGATCACCATATTTTTACATATAAATGATGGTGACATGTTCGATATGTTGTTTTTTTAAGTGTAGACTAACTTGGGTTATATCATGGCAGATATATCAAACGAGTGAATGGGGGTGATAAATCACATTCCCATCACAAACAAAAAGTACCTTCACCATCGGTTTGCTTTAAGGGATTACAGGAAAGCCTCTTTCTTCATGGTGTTCTACCCATCCAGTTCGCAGTTTTCATCCCCAACTGGATAGGTAGTGGAATGGAGAATGTCACATAAAATAACCATAGCAAACGATGACATTTTTTTGTGGACTACCAGTCAGATTGACCATGATGATATGGGGAAACATCTATTGTTAAGTGTTAATGTTTTTTGTTTGTTCACTAACCATCAATCACAGATTATTGTTACCTATGACTAACTATATTTATTACATATTATTATCACTAGCCATTGATTTTGACTAATATTGCTAAGTATTTATACTGCACCGGTTTTATTGTTTGATACCCCAAAGATTAACCATTATTTGACCATTATTAACTAGCTTTTTTATCCATTCATTGCCATAAATTTCATTACTATCATTAATTACTAACTATAGTTAGTTTTGAATGATATCACTAACCATTGATTTAAACATAACTACCTGGTTGCTGGTTTGGAACATGTTTATTTTTCCATATATATGGGATGTCATCCTTCCCATTGACGAACTCATATTTTTCACGATGGTTATTGCACCACCAACCAGATCATTATTGACCATCATTAACCATATATTAACCACATATTAACCATCATTAACAGTATATTAACCATTGATTTAAACATAACTACAGTTTAATGATCACAACTTGACATGTTCACTGATGAATCCCCCAAGAAAGGCTCCAAAAGGGGGCCCATCTTTTTCCCGCCTCTCAGCTCCCGACGTTCCTATCGCTCTTCATTTGGGCTCCTCGGATGGTCACGGGGCGGACGGGATTTTGTGTTCCAACCGTTGCAAAAAGCTCGAAATAACAGCTATAATTTGTTATGAATGGTTATTTTTGTTGGGATTTGTTGTGGTGATAAACATTTTTAATAATCATTTCTATGTTTATTTCTATGGTTATAAATGGTTATGAATGGGGTTATCATTCCGCACATGGGATTATAACTGGCTTAAAACTGGTAAACGGCCATAACTGTTTTGGGGTCATGACTTACATCATCCCATTTTGCGGGCTATACCCTAATTCTTACACCCAAAATGCGGATGATTTATTGGGTTTACTTCATGTGGGTTCATTTTTTTTTGTGGGGTGGGGAAATACTTAAAAAATACGAGCTATAAAGATGTACATCCTAGCTTTGGGGCTGAACGGTTGATTCTTCAAGATTGGTTCAGAAAAAAAAGAGCGTCTACAAGGTGGGGCCCCCACACGTTGTGTATAAGTTGGTTTATAAACTCCATAAATACATATAAATACCATAGTTTTATCAACCTTCCAACCATATCACCTAGTGATTTCAAGCGACTTAGCTATCTGGCCCCATCTCATAGGGATCCCGCAGGGGTGCTGACTGATCATTGGAAGATCAGGATGTACATGTTTGTTTTTTTGGATACTGGTTAGGGGTGCAGTGATGATGGTGATGATGGTGATGATGATGATGATGATGATGTTATTATCATTATCATTAGTGTTGTTATTATTGCTATTATTCTTACTGATAATATTGTTAGTTAAATATGTAATTATCATGATGATTACACTCTGGTTATTTAACATAGCCATAATATAGATGGCCCATAGAAATAGATGAATTTCCCAGCTAGAAACCTCCATTTATTTCAGGGATTTTCCATGGCTATGTTAGTCATAACCAGATGGTATGCTGGTCACTATGACCATGATGATTTACATCATCTTTCCGATTTGGTGAGGTCATGAGTTCTGCCATGTTCGTTTGGATGGAAAACGTCTACGATGGACCGTCTAAGGACGTCCGTTCCAGGGATCGACGGGATCCATGGTGAGTCTACGTTGGAACATCTATAGCATCCCGAAAAAAATGGAACGGTAAGAAATCCCACTTGATTTGGGGTACCCCTAACTCCACTGGTTAATTACTGTGTCATTTTCCGTATATCATATGAGATGACCATTTTAGGGATATACCGATGTATCCCATTTTCAGACAGACCCAAATGAAGTAATGAAGTTAGGGCCTACTGTATATCAGTCAAAACAAATGCTGCTGGAACGTCCATTAAGTCCAGTGCCAGGTTAAACCTGAAAACATGTCGGTCCACAGAATTTTGTGTCTGGCCCATTCTATCCATTCTGTTTTTTTTTTCTGTACAGCTATGGCCCTTTGCCAGTTAATTACTTCGTACCATAGATATAATTTCATAGATATAATTTCATAGATATAATTTCATAGATATAATTTCATAGATATTTATAAATGGGCATATAATTTCATAGATATAATTTCATAGATATCTATCTATGAGGATATAATTTCATAGATGGGATTAGAGCTACAACTGGAACCATAACTGTAGAAAGATTCCAGTAGAAAGATAGGGATAGGTCAAGTTACCAATGAATTTACCATGCGACTGAGGGAATAATCCTCCATTAAGCAGCTATGAGTTTGCGCGTTTGGGTGCCAGGGATTTGACTCACAACCAGATGATCTTCCACAGAATTGTGTTGGAAGTTCCACCTTACTGGTTAGGGGCATTCTATCTTAATCTATGTCGCATTATGTTACATTCAACTCCCACAAACTGATGCCAGTAAACAACTAAATGAGGAATTTCAGTGCAATATGGACCAACATAATCTGGGATCATCTGCAAGAATACCACCAAAATCCAGTGGCTCGTCATCGGTTCTCCAAGAATGAAGACCATTTTTTTGGGGGTGTACCCTCTGGTAAACGTTTACCAAACTATGGAACATCACCATGCTATTAATGAGAAAACTCACTATAAATGGCCATTTTCAATAGCTATGTTGAATTACCAGAGGGTACCACATTTTGGAGCCACTGCCGAAGTGGTGCCACATGACTCCGAAGTGGTGCCACATGACTTGGCTGGCGGAGCAGATGATGGAAGTGGAACCGAGGAGGAGATGGACCCTGGGGTGCCATGGAACCATGGTGCAAAGGCTCCGCCAGTGGCCTTGCGGCAGGGGTGGTTCGACCCACGTCCAGGACCCCCTGGCAGTCGACCGCCGACACAGAGCTCTACAGATGGAAGTCGGTCGGTGGCTGGTTCTGGGGGAGCGAGGCCTGACATGGTGGGAAGATGGAATCTCATTGGGTATACACGTGTTGGCATGAACAAGGCTGGAATTCATTTTAACATATTTCGATAATATGTTCACATCTTTTCTGTAGGCTAACCCTGAATTGTCTGGCCTAAAAAGAATGGGAGCCTGAGTTGATTTCACTTCCATCTAATTGCCACGCCAGTTTGCAGCAATACCCTCTGGTAAACATATACAAAAAACTATGGAAAACCACCATTTTGAATAGGTAAATCAACTATTTCTATGGGCCATTTTCAATAGCTATGTAACAGTCATTACCAGAGGGTACATGCAGGTGAAGTAAACACTATCCCTGGGGATCAATGGTGTGCGGAAGCGATTTGGGTCCAGCACTGGAAGGCGAGACGTTGAGAAGTGGCGCTGGCAGAGAATGGTTTTCCGAGCACATTGACAGCATCTATCAAGAAGCCTATGAGCCTATCCCAAATGCGAACCATGGTGCTGGAATATTTACCAACATGTACCCGAACAAAATCATTCAAATGTCTGTAAATACACCATACATGGAGCATATGGGTATGAGAGGTTTCAGCCTACGAGACGGTGAAAAGATGTGAAAAGCGGACCCCTGCTGAGACAGATCTTGGCTTCGAGTTTTGGAGGTTTCAACTTTCTACCAATATCAACCGTAAAAATCTACCAATATCTACCCTTAATGATATAATATAAATAATATAAATGATACATATGCACCATGAAGCCAAATAAAAGGAATGACGAACTGGAGCAGCACATTGTAACCATGACAGCTTCCATGGCTGAGACACCACACCCCCCCGCGGCCTCGCGGTCCGCGGAGGATTTCTTTACGTCGCTCCCGACGGGGATGTACTGGACCTCTTCGTTCCTGATAGGACGCGCCGGAGAGCCATTGCATCCATTGGATCGCTGGAGGTGTACCCATTTGCAGCAAGTGCAACGACTGGATGATGAAGTTCCAATCATCCATGGTTGACCTAGTAATACATGGATTTCCATATACCTATTGGATTTAAGTTCCATGGTTGACCTAGTAATTCCAATAGTAAGTTTTACTTTGTTGGATTGACCATTGAGATGATGAATACTGAAGATTACTAGGTCAACCAACTGGATGGAGAGGGTTTAATCCTTTTATAGTTTTTTTAGCCGATTTCAATAGGAATACAAACCAGCTAACATCTTTTTTTGCAGGCTATCTAAGATTGGCAAATGCCAGTGATTGAGGTTGTCTAACATCATTGAGGAATCTGGGTATCTCTGGGTACTGAACATCTGAACATCTGAAGACTGGCTCGGAGTCCCTTGAGCAAACCCTTGAGCAAATAGGGCGCAGAATTTTAAGACCAAAATCGAATCCGTGATCCCATGTGCTCCATGTATCTGGGTAAATGACATAACGACCGAACCCTGTTCTCCCGAACCCTGGAATCATGGGAATTGGATCGAGGAAATCATCTCCAAATGGCCTTACAGTTCAGGTTAGTGAAATTTTATAATTTACCCAGATGTATGGTATATTTACCGACATGACTGGGTGATTTTGTTCGGGTAAATGTTGGTAAATATTCCAGCACCATGGTTCGCATTTAAGGGGAAGGTCAACTTTTTTAGAATTCTGCAAGACCGGAAAGGAACTTACTACTATTTTGATTAAGACTCAACTAATATGTTTAGCATGTCATGAGATCTTTGCTTACTGCTACTGGGTTTCACAGAGAATTCTTTGCGAGGATCATCTCACTTTGTAAGTGGTTAAGCCTCGTTATCAAGTCCCCGGAGTGGGGTATCCTATTTATAAATGGGTTAACTGGTTGGTGGTTTTGAACATTTTTATGACTGTCCATATATATTGTATTTGTCCATTAATATTGGGAATAGTAACCCCAACTGACGTTCATATTGTATATATTGTCCAGAGGGGTAGGTATACCACCAACCAGTTAAAAGTTGTAACTATGGTCGCCAACCAATTACTCGCTTGGATGATTCTTCAAGTATGCTCCAGGAGAATGGGTTCTGGCCGACTTCTCTCCGGGTGGTGGCAACCGGGTCCCTTGACATAGAGAAATAGCGGAAACGCGTGCCATGGGATGGTGTCAATGGGATGTGTGTAATTGAATATTATATATATACTGTATATATATATATTTATATGTATGTATGTATGTATGTATGTATGTATGTATGTATGTATGTATGTATGTATGTATGTATGTATGTATGTATGTATGTATGTATGTATGTATGTATATGTATGTATGTATGTATGTATGTATGTATGTATGTATGTATGTATGTATGTATGTATGTATGTATGTATGTATGTATGTATGTATGTATGTATGTATGTATGTATGTATGTATGTATGTATGTATGTATGTATGTATGTATGTATGTATGTATATATATATATATGATTTTACTATGTATATATTTACAGAAACATAAACACAATTATTATTATGATTGTTGATATTACTACTTAGCACGATTCTCCCATTATGTGTATATATATATATACAACCACCATCTTATAAAGGGATATATATATATATACATATACACAACTAATTATATCTACATATATAAGTATATATATATATATACACGATATATATATATATACACGATATATATATATATATATATGTATATATATATATACATACACATACATACAATACATAAGTTATATTTATTATATATATATATATATAGTGTGTGAGTTCATGAACAACCAATGAACATATACTTTAGGTTTTAGAAATCTGGATGGGTCGGCTGGAAAATCCCAGCAAACCATGTGACGCTTTTACCGGGTAAAACCCATGAAGTCCTCTATTTTTCCGCAGCATGAAATCTCCATGATCATTGTGATCATCATGGATCACCTGGTGAAGCCAAGTATTAAACCAAATATTAAACCTTCACCTGGTGGTTGCCCTTGATCACCTGAAAATCTCCATTAATCACTATTGATATCCACTAGTAGCCAAACGGTTTTTCTTTTCAGGGGATCAAGAGGTGAAGGTTTAGCGTAAGGTTTTCCAGGAGGTATTTTGAGGGTGTTTGCGTGAGTACCTTTGTGTTGCAATATGTAACTATGTGTTGTCAGATTTTGTTGACATTATCCCATATAACATCACCCATGATATAACATTTATATCCTTATCCCACATTATCTCATATTATGTCATATTATCTCGGAACAATGTGGGCCCCCCAGTTATAAGTTGCTTTCTAAACGCCATTCGCTATACTATATAGTAAGTACCATAAATGAAATTGAGGTTATTGGCACCAACTGAACGCTATCCTAAACGGGAGCCCACATTGTAACAATGAGTGGTTTGCATGCAGAATCTGCCTGCGCCATGTCTCTTGGTCTATTGGGTAAGTGTATTGGGTAAGTGTAGGGACCATCCCAATTTGGGTGGGGGGATGGTCGATGATAGAGTGGACTTGAAACTGCATGTTGTGTATCATAGATGTCCTTTTCCCATTGAATGGTTGATTTTTCTAGAGGGGTTTGAAGAACCCCCTTTAACACCCTTTAACAACAGGTAAATTATGATAGATGGTATACCTTTTTACCAAAATGACATTATTGTCGTGTATTCATCAACGAGTGCATCCCTGAAAATTTACCAACCCGATCCAAAGGATGTAAATGCCAATCGCCAAAGGTTTTTCCAGATCCCGTTTTGCGGGTTTTATCCAAGTTTGAAGGAGGGTAGATGAAAAGTGTTCAAGCTGAGAACCAACAACAGAAAGTCCCAAGTCAGGTTAGGCAGCACTTGGCGAGTTTGACAATTATAGATGTATTTTTTGATCTTAGCATGCCCAAGCAGGTTTTGTTGTTATTGAAGGCAACCGAGCCTCCAGCTGATTCCAGAACGCTGCCACCATGCTTTAGTAAATCGCCTCACCACTTTGTTTGAAATTGTAAGACCAACTGAATCAACAAAGCGGAAACGTTTGTTTCGATCAATCAAAAGTGATGAGGTCTGGAAATTCGGTTCGAAATTTGAGTACAAATCCACCCACCTTGTTTGCCAACATGTTTATTGCCAAACCATGAGTTTTCTCATGGACAAGCAGAGCTAACCCCCAAAGATGGTTCATTCCTCTTTTCTAAACAAGCCCCAACATACAAGTAACTGGTTGGTGGTTTGGATTTTTGTCTTCCATATATTGGGGATAATAATCCCAACTGACGAACTCATAGTTTTCCATATATTGGGTAAACTAACATAACTATGGAAAATCACATTTTTTTCATGGGTAAATCCACTTTTTGTTTCTATGGGCCATGGCATCAAGTTCGCATTCTGTGTAACAGTCACTACCAGAGTCATTATCCCATTAAAGTGTTTTCATGATATTAACTTTAGTATTTTCATTAGTGTGAAGTTCCATTATTCCATTATATTCCCATTAGAATCCATTATAAGCCCCAAGATTTTCCAGTGTCGAGATGCAGGTCTCGGTCCAACACAAAGAATCCCGAGTTCAATAATTCTCCCAGAAGAAAAAAACTGCATTTATACAAGGCATTACGGGGCCCCCGTTGACGAAAAACACTGGGAAAATGGTGATTTAACCATCAAAGATGTGATTTTAATGGGATTTATAGCTGATTTATCATAGCTAAGTTGTTTTATAACTCCACTAACTATGATTGATGGTACTTAAAACTATAGTTCATGGGGATGACAAAGCAACTGATAACTGGGAGGCTCCACATTGTAGGGTATTTCCTGCCATGTTTGATGACCTTCCTATGGTTATTTTTGTTTGACACTCAGATGTTTGCAACGACTCCAGAAACCCAGGTTTGCATTGCTATCGTCCTCTTCGGCAAGGGGTCTTAGCCGGGAGATTTGGTTTTCGGGCTCATGTGGCTGCGCGACATGCTTTTTTTTCAGGGATGCCTTTGGAAAAACATGGAAAAAACAACGACTCAGAGGGAGAGCATGTATTGAACAAACAAAAAAAGGGATATCTGGTTGCTGGTTTGGACCATTTTTTATTTTCCCATATATTGGGAAGAATCATCCCAACTGACTTTCATATTTTTCAGAGGGGTAGGCTCAACCACCAACCAGATATGCTGAACTGATGTGATGAACAGCGCCTGCAAGGGACCCCCTTCAAAGGTGGTCATCTCTTCCGACAGCTGTGTGGCAAATTGTATCGGGTATAAAGTGGTTGATCTTGGTACAGGATGGTGCCCCATAGTTAGCTAAGTTGGTGAACATAACTTCCATAACTATGGTTTATGGCAGATATAACTATAGTTAATGGGCTAATAAACCAACAAACATCACTGGGGGGCACCATCCTGTACAATGGTCACGTATTGCAAGTCCAGCAATTTCCGGGGCAATCAATGCGTTCCAGCAATGAAAGTGTCATTGTCACATGAATCCTATCAGCCTACTATTCAACACTCCCATTCTATGGTCCCAAATAAGTGTAAATCAGCTACTAAACCATGATTTCTGGGGCCGTGTTTTATATTAGGGGGAAGGGATTCCTCTACTGGTTGGTGGTTTCAAACATTTTTTTTTATTTTCCATCATATATGGCATCCTTCCCATTGACTCATATTTTTCAAGATGGTTATTGCACCACCAACCAGTCTAACTCGACTATGTGCTGGGCTCGGATCTGCAGGTATCATGGCTTTCGTGCGGGAACTCGGGGACAAACAAATCACTTGGGTCGACGACCTCGGGGATAACTCGTGTAGTTACCCCCAATTCGATTTGACGCCATTTCAGGGTATGGTTTTTATCACCTCTCAACTATATCCCCAAATAGTCAAATTTGGTAAATGTGCTTTGGTTTATTGTTGGTTTTACCACATCATTGATGAGAAAGCATACTCCAAGGTATAAGGTTTCAGCGGTTGCCCTATGGCAAACACGCACACGATATATACGTATGTATATATATATATATGTATTCATTTATTCATTTATTTATTTGGCACTAGAAATTCAAGCAAAAAGGAAGACACCTGTTGGACAATGGTTGTCCCGTCTCACTGGCTATTGTAAGGTGGTGCCCCCTAGTTTCCCAAGTTGGTTTATAACTAGAGCAGCCAAGTTTAACAGTCAAACCCGCAACTACTGGTATAACGAGTTGGGTAAGAAACCAAGAAACATAACTAGGGTAAGAAACCAAGAAACATAACTATGGGGCACCACCTTGCAGACTTTGTCCTGACGAAGCTAGTCCCAATCTAAGCAGCCAACGTGATATTGATGCACATAGTCCTTATGAAACGTAAATAGCTTAAAAATGTTGATTCCATGCTGTGTTAGAGCATATCTTCACATACTGTAGAAACATAGAAACAGCAAAAGATAGATCAAACATATGACTATCTGATTCCAAAATCCCCACTATTTAATTTACTTGGCTGTGTTTCAGATGCTTGTTTATTTTTTCAATTGAAAATCCACCATTTGGGATATCCACAGGGAATATGTTCGATTTGTTTGTGGGACCCCAAAAAAGCAAATCCAAGAGAATATGCTAAAATGATAGGTATATAGTGGGATATCATTTGATATACCCTCTGGTTATTTGTTACATCGCCATGGTATGCATGGCCCATAGAAATAGATGGTTTACCTGGGTTTACCTATTAAAAATGGGTGGATCTTCCATGGCTATGTTAAATAACCAGAGGGTATATCCCGGATATCCCAAATGATGATAGGTAATATTACGGTGATAAATATCCCATAATATAGTGGGATATCATGAAAGATATTACCTATCATTACATGATATCCCAGAATATTCATGATATCCCATATATATCACATGATATACCCTGTAGATACTAAGTGGGATTAAATATCATTATTAATCCCATCGGATCACACTTCCCCATGCCGATGCCAAGGGCATTGCAACAGGCATTCTGATGGAGGCCAGTGGGAACTTTGGGAACTTTGAGCCCCGGGGACTGTTGGCAAGTTGTTTTTGTAACCATAGTTTTAACACTGCTATGTATGATATGATTGATGTAATATGTATATATATATATGAGATGTATTACACACATATTGCTATCTATGTACATAGTCGTTTACATTTGATATAATACATATTGTATATAGATATATCATATGTACGTACGAACTCTGTCGTGTGGAGATTTGTTTTCGCTCGTTGAGTAGGTTGGGACATACCTACTAAGTCTCCACTGTTGTGAGGTGACATGGATGCCAAGTGGTTTGCTCAAAAGCAATCAACACTCTATTTGGTGGTTAGGAGGGGGCAAAGGAGCTTTTGGTATCCATTCTCCCTTTTAAAAAGGGAGCAACTCGGAGCTACCAAGAGTTTCTCAACCACATGATCGTGAGGCATTGACTATGTAAGATGACCAATTTTGTGGGTGTCGACTGGTAGACTTGGTAGAAAACGGCAGGTCCAGAACATTTACCCTAAAAAAGTCACCCAGTCATGTAGGTAGATATACGAGCACCACGATAAGACATCCAGAATATATAAATATATATGTGCATTATATATATATATATACATGTTTCTTCAGCTAACTATGTTAATGAAGAAGGACGCGCACGAACCAAACTCATTAAGCAACATATTTGTTGAATTAATTCTAAAGATTCTAAAATTTACGGATTGAATCCCGTGGTTGTGTCCCCCTGTTTGAAAATAGGGTTCTGCTAAATCCATTGGCTAAATCCACCATTTAGGATATCTACCGGGAATATGTTCGATTTGTTTGTGGGACCCCAAAAAAGCAAATCCAAGAAAATATGCTAAAATGATAGGTATATAGTGGGATATCACTTGATATACCCTGGTTATTTGTTACATAGCCATGGTTTTTCGATGGCCCATAGAAATAGATGGTTTACCGGGTGTACCGTTCTTTAAAATGGTGATTTTCCATGGCTATGGTTTTTTATTTATTTATTTATTTATTGATTTATTTATTTATATATGATTTATTTATTATCACAATTGGTTGGTCTATATCATATGTGTCCTCTTGTTTCAATAAATGGTTGGTCAAAGCATCTCAAACCATATCAATTTTGTTATTTATCCCACAAACTATCCCCATCATATCACCAAATACTTTGGCTGGTTTAGCTCCATGTTTGTTGGTTAAATCATTTACTGTAAATCCCCAAGAATCCCTTTACGTGACAATATTTGACTAACATATATACATATAATTATACATATAATTAGATACATATAACTATATATATATATTTATATTTAGTATAAGTTTACAAAACGCAACTTTTCTGCCCTGATATTCCCCACGATATCCAGATTCATCCTGGATAAACATTACACTCAGAGAACCAACACATTTTCCACGCAGGCAGTGCAGCAGGCCATTGCAGTCGCGATGTTGGAGCTACTTGGCGTATGGGGAAACGGAGAGTTGAGCCATGAAAAATAGGGATGGAATACCATCAGTTTCCACCTAGGGATTTACCATCTGGTTATTTAACATAGCCATGGAGATTTTTTCTTATAAATGGAGGTTTCTAGCTGGGAAAATCATCTATTTCTATGGGCCATGGCTTCAATGGCTGTGTTAAATAACCAAACGGGTATAAGGATCAATAGGGATCTATTGGATTCACGAAAACTCTGAATTATTTGTGTAGACATTTCTTGTTGTTATAGTACTTTGTTACATCATTCGTGTACTCATACATTCTACATTGTTGAGCCATGAACAAAATACCAATGTTCATTGGGTACTGAATCGCAATGTAAGTTTCAGGTTGCTAGGGTTTCCCCCCATGAAACATTTTGTTGTGTACCCTCTGGTTCTGACTAACAGTTCGCCATGGTTTTTCGATGGCCCATTTATAGATGGTTGACCTATTAATAGCATGGTGATTTTCCATTAAAAAATGTGATTTTCCTTTTAAAAATGGTGATTTACATATTAAAAATTGTGATTTACCTATTAAAAATTGATGGATCTTTCCAGTCGGGAAAATGATATTTAACATCAAAGGGCATGTGACATATGCACTTTGTTTGTTGCATGAATCAAATCTCACAGCTTTGTCCACATAGTCACATAGTCACATAGTGTTTTGATCAAATTGACACCCAGTCAAAGCAGAGACGCAGGGTACGTACGAGTGGAGAGGAGTGCGGTGCTATTTGAGGAACCTTCTGTGTGATGATTTTTACATTTGTGCTTAAACACAGTTTGGATCAAATTTACAACAAACGACAAAAATATAAAGAGGGCATGAAAGAGCAGTTTGGATATAATTTATAACCATCGTCAATAAAACAGTTTGGATATGATTTATAGCAATCGTCAACAAAGTACACAGGGTATGTTCTCAATTGTTTTCATACATATATATATATATGTATACATATCTTTTGCAACGATATGAATGCATGATCGATTTACTTGCTATGCAGCTCACCGTGAGCACTTTGAACGCATCACTGACGATGCAACCCCTTTATCACCAAGACAGGACAATGGCGAGGCCATTCTCCGTAATGCCTAACCCAGCCGTCGATGTTGCGGCAGCTGACAAGAGATTTCCCCATTGCTCCAGCGAAAAAGAGAGTGGCGCGACAGAGACATCCATCCAGATGTTTTGATTCACTTCGTTTGCATCTGTGCCTTGAGTCATGGCTGACTCTCAGGCTGTCAGGCATGGGCAATGGCTCACGTGTCCAAGGGATCAGTTCTAATGGGCCCCAAAAAGCTGGGTGTCCGTACCTGACATGTGACTCCACACAGCAACACATAGCAACACCCATTTTTCAGAAATGTTGAGGGGGTGAAGCCACCATTGTGGCTGAAGCTAAGGAACACATCTTTTGAAGACCTCGCAAAAATGGCAGAGGAAGACAAGGCCGGAAGTCGGGTCCGTGGATCAATGGGAGCTCCCCAAAGGGAGCTCCCCAAAGGGTCATGAACCAGCGTCAACCCTTGGTACAAGGTGAGGCTCTGCAGTTATGTTCGTTGGTCTATAACCCTCATTAACTGTATAGTTATATCACCCTCATAAACCCTAGTACTAGGGTTCGATATAGCTATCAGAATCCCAACAGTTCACCTGCTGAACTGTAACTAAAGCAATTTCGCAAAGGATTGGAGGCATCACCCTGTTGGAACTAGGACGGATCAGAATGGTACCCGTCACCATGTCAGGCTCCGAGAAGTGCCGGAACCCAGCCGAAGGATCCGAAGGGTGTGGTGTGTGATGGTCCTCTGTCCTATTGGTGACAGTCCTCTTGGTTGGTGGCCGACCATGATATGTGCCATGGTCAGAACATACCCAACTTGGTGTATCATGCGGATACTCTATGGGATGCGGGATATTCATTGTAAGATATAAGTGTTAACCGTATATTTGCCCAACAATTACAGGGCATGGGCATGGTAATTGATCCATGCTCAAAGCGGTGAATATACCAAGTGTGTCAGTAATCCTGTTCATGCTACGCCTCCATGTACCATTTTTTGACCATGGCACATACATGTATATAGATGCTCACGATACATAAACAACTATATGTATATGTAATGTGTATATATATATACATATATATATATATGGAGGTGGTATTTGTTGGCAATATTTGGCACAACACAGATAGGACAGAACATTGTACTCACCTGCATTGCTGCTTTCTTTGCAAGCAGTCTGTGTGGGTTGCTTTTCAGCAGTACAGCTAGGCTGATCATGTGCCAAACATGGACAAGGGGTCGCAGGACATGACGCGAAGCTCATGCGATGATGCTCAGATGCTCCGCACTGCGCAACATCTTTTCCTTTTCCACTTTTTTCTTGTCTCACAGGCTGCAGCGCATCTGGAAGAGCCAGAGACAGCACTTTTGGAGAATCGGCGGCTGCTGAAAAATGCAAACAGCGGGCCGCAAGACAGGCTCACTTGCTGGATACTGGGAGGCCTCTCTACGCTGTCTACGGAAAGTCTTGACAGCGCATGGGCTACAGCAATGCTCCGCTGCTATGCTGAAATGCTAATTAACGCAAACCATGGGGGGATCTCTAATGGATCACCTTCAATTCCAGAAACATAATGAATCATCTGCATCTTTGCCTATGTTCTACCTTGACGTGCTATGTGCCATGCTTTGATTCTTTTAAAATTTGCCCAAGAGCTTGCAAGGTTTCTTGGCAGTTGATTGGGGTCGATGACCTGCCTTGATTCAAAAGCTCTTCCTAGAAGCCAATCTGGTGGACCTGCTTCTTCTTCATGATGACAGCCATGCAGAATGGAAGCAGGCCACAACGTTTGAGTCTGCGCGCCTATGGTTCTGGCAGAGTATCAACTTTGGTCCTGGGTCCAAAAGCAAAACTCTGGTCAATGGCAATGCGCCATCCTCAGCTGAAGTTTTTGAGCGATTTTACGGACACAGCGTGCCCCAAGGAATGCAGTCGAAGATAAGTGAACAGATGGGTTGCAGGCTGGTGCTTGCGGTGAGAAATCAACCCGCTGGTGCTGTATCAAACTGAGAGATATCCCAAAATGACCAGACTCATTGGAAAATCATGGTAAGTTTGAGAAGAACCTGGGAAACAATTTTGTGAATTTGTAGATTTAAGTTATCTTTGGGTGATAAATTGCAATATCTCACGATCATTTTCTACGGGAAACATGGTCTCAAAACGGAACTTCTGAGTCAAATATTCGAAGATAATCATAATCATTGGATTTTCGAGCGGGTTTTATGATGATAAATTGATAAACACCGAGATTTGGGGGGGGTCCAATTGGAGATTTCTGGCCAAGGTCAGAAAGCTGCTGACAAGGTGAGGATGGTGAAGTGGAGATTGAGTTGGAATGTACCAAATATCAAGTGAGGAGTGTTCAAACCGCCGGTTGGTTGATGATTAGTTCGGGAATTTTACAAACCAGAATGCTGATGTATATTGGGGTTTATCACTATCCAGTATGTGAATCCCTTTTAACCAACCAGTGTCATGAAACGACAGAGGGTTTTGGGCACTGCTCAATTGAGCCGTTACGAAAAAACGCCTCCTTGGTGGCTCATCCCAGGAATTGCAAGTGGCTTATAACTCCAATTAGTACAGTAGGCTAAGCAGGAGCAATGGTTATAATGGGGGGATCTTCAATAGCAATATATAATCCCATTAACACTAATCCCATTAACAATGGTTATATTTAATGAGCAATAGATTAGGGTAGCCAACCTATCTTGGGATCCTGGGGGTGTCCCTATGTTAGCTAAAAAACTGTTTACAACTAGAGTAACTAGGGTTATATGACGAGTTTATGATGATTATAAGTACAGTTACCCTCTGGTAAACTAACATATAACTATGGGAAATCACCATTTTTTACGAGGCAAATCAACCATAAATGATCATTTTCAATAATTGTTTGTATGTTTACAAGAGGGTAGATGATTGGATCAACCAACAAACATGTGATAACTAGGGGGCACCATGTTTGACATCGACAAAATACTTCGATGTGTATAGCCATTGAGCCATTACACATATCCTGATGGGTTACTATAGGGATTTATACGGACAAAAAATTGTTGGGATTCTGACATCATAGGGAAACCTATCATTTAGCCAATTTAACCCCCCCAAGTTTCTATCCTTTCCCAAGGATATCCGCAGGTTTGATGGTTAACAAGCGTATATTGCGATGGGATAGGGCTATTTAAGTTCCTTACGTGGCTCATCGGAAAGGTTATCCCACCTGAGTCGTGAGGTCAGCAAAACTTTTGATGTGAAGTCGGTTGTGTGTGTAGATATATATATATATATTTATTAAATACTATTTTTTATAAATTATGTTAAATTATATACGTAAATATCACTATGTTTTTGTTTTTACAGTATTTATATATATTATATGTTCTATGATCATTTATTTAATATATATATATATATGTATTTATATGTGCACATGTTATGTATACGTTAGTGAATGGCTGTTGCAATAAAAAAACATGTTGGTCCCGAACGAGTGAAAAATTGTGATTTGGAGGATTTGACCGCGTTGACCATACTACTACTGGTTGGTGGTTTGGAACATGATTTATATTTTCCATATATTGGGAATTTCATCATCCCAAGTGACGAACTCATATTTTTCAGAGGGGTAGGCTCAACCACCAACCAGTAAGTTTGATGTTGACCCCACTTAAGTTGGAGGATTTGACGAAAAACTTGGTGATTCTGCCAAAGTTCTTCAGAAAACCAACTACTGTGGGTTTTTGTTTTTGTGGGGTTAGTCCGCTGATGATTTGTGGATAAATCTTTTTGACGGTGAACAACCCAGTCGCAATTTATGTGTTGAATTGTTAGATCCCCGTTTCTGTTGACATCATGTTCAAACCCATTAAATCACAATTGGATTCCATTAAAATCTATTAAACTATCAATAAAACCCATACAAATCCCACACAAACCCCATACAAATCCCATAATTTCCCAAGTATTGCTTTGATGAAATCCCTACAATGTGTGGCCCCCGTTATGATAGCTAAGTTGGTGCAAATAACTCGAATTTCACCATGATTTATGATACTTATAACTATAGTATTCATGGGGGTTTTAAAGCAACTTATAGCCGTGGGGGCCACATTGTTCCGTGATAATATGACACGATATGAGATAATGTGGGATAATCAATGATAATCATAATTTACAATATGGGATACACATGTTATAACATGGGTGATGTTATAACATCATAAAATTGTGCAGCTTCCGTTCTTTTTGTCAACCGGTGTCTCTTCCCAGCTGGTAGGCATCGAGTGAAGGGAGGAGACCAGGGCGGCTTTCCCCGAGCTAAATGGATATCAATTGGGGTTTCCATAAATGGTGGTACCCCAATAGCTGGATGGTTTATTTCATGGAAAATCCCATTCAAATGGATGATAACTGGGAGTACCCCCATGGATTGGAAACCTCCAAATGGAAGTTTAGTTCGCTGGAGAATAACGCTGGCGGATTGATCAAACAACATCCTGGGTTTTGGGGTTAACAACAATCCTGGGTTGACAAAAAAATCCATGTTTTTTTCATAGTTTTTAAGCACATCCCTAGAAACTCGAAACCCTGATCTAGTCATTCCTGGGTCCCTTATCAGGTGTATTGTTCATATTCGTGCGATGGGATTAACGCTGGATCTGACGAAGAAAACCAGCTGTTTTGCCTCTGACAGAAGTTTTTCATATAGATGTCGAATATTCATTAGTTTTACGTTTGTTTCCCTTGTCCAAGGTGGCAGCTCACTTGTGGCCCCTTCTTGTTGTGGCAAATCCGGCCAAAAAGTGATTAGATAATTTTCCCTTAGTCCTCGGCCAATAGGCCAATAGGAGAAAAGGATGGATCCAAAGTCAGTCTATTCAGCGTTGCTTCTTGACTCGTGGCGTTGAAATTTGCCTGGTTAGCCAGCCTGGCACAGCTCCCATTTTGCCTGAACACACAATCATGATGATTTTCCACAGAAACCCCTGTTTCTTGGTTTGCATACATGTTTGGCGCAAGGTCCAAAGGCAAACATGAAAAACCGCAGAGAAAATAATGACCTATTCCTATGCAAATTGGCAACATATGTATAACATTATAATTTATACACATACTATGATTAGATTTATAATAATCATGTATATGACTATATGTATATATATATATATACATAGCAGTATATACACACATACATAGTAGTTTATATATATATACATATATATATACGTGAATATGTGCAGTATATATATATATGTACACATACACATTATATATATACACATATGCATATATACACTGTATATCTACAATATATAAACATATACACCATACGTGTATATATATACACACTATATGGAATAACAATATATATATATGCACGATATATATAGCACTATCTATCTATCTATCTATCTATCTATATATATATATATATGTATATTTACATGTACATACACAAGATATAGAAAAAAAACATAATACATATGTTTGAATGATGCACCCATCATTCCCTATCTTTTACCGCTCCAGGAGCGGCAAACCACTGGCTTTGCCCACTGGAAGATCAGCTCAGTGTCTTGGTAGCGGCCGGTGTGCTGGAAAGACATTTCGGTACAGTAACGTTATTGTTTTTCAACGCGAGGTCATATTATCTGATTGGTGGTTTGGAACATGAATTTTATGACTTTCCATTTATTGGGAATAATACTCCCAACTGACTTTCATATTTTTTCAGAGGGGTTGAAACCACCAACCAGTTATAATTTGTATATCTAGATATGTGTTTATACAATTTTATATACAGGTTATATCCACTAGTGTATAAGTTATCCCATTCCTTATATGTTTTCTGCGTTTGGTGCACGGATCTTCGGATTTGTGCAATCAAATTGGGATTCAAGGGGAAATTGTCCGACCACAAATGGATCTACTGGATAGATATATATATATATATACAATGTGAGGCCCCCAAGATAGCTAACTTGGTTTATAAGTCCAATAACTATGGTTTATGGCATTTATAACTATAGTTACTGGGGCTTATAAACCAACTTATAACTGGGGGGCCTTACATTGTATACATCTATATAAAGATTCCTTTGCAACCTCAACGTAGTCTCACCGTAAATGATGGCTAGGATCTTATGAATTTGGACTTTTCCCCAACAAAGGTTTGTTTTCTGGTTGATGAGTTACTGCAATTCAGTCAGATAAATGCTAACACTACGCAGTTGTTGTGGAGTATCCCATTTCTGAGTGGGTAATCGCCTCACTTAGTCACTTACTGACTAGTTGAATGTAATTATTCTCAATATGTACCAGAAATTCCTTGACAGCATGTTTGGCGCGTTTTGATGCGCGATTTCCGCTTTACAAGAAGCAGAACGGAGTGAACAAATCAAGCAGCGAACAAACATATAAACAAATGTATAAAGACCATTAAAGAACTAAGGCAGCTATTACCCTCTGGTAATTTAACATAGCTATTGAAAATGGCCATTGAGTTCGTTGATTTACCCATTAAAACTGGTGATTTTCTATAGCTATGTAAACGTTTACCAGAGGGTAACACCTATAGGGCTCATCTTGGAGTCGCAATTTCTGTGCTGAAAAGGTTACGGATCTCATATGGATAAACTGGTTGGTGGTTTGGAACATGAATTTTATGACTTTCCATATATTGGGAATAATAGTCCCAACTGACGAACTCATATTTTTCAGATGGGTAGGTATACCACCAACCAGTCAATTTTTTGGGGTTCCAAAAATATGTGTGCCCAAGTCCCACTTTCCATGGTTTTCCCATGACTAAAAACTTGGATGAGTTAATGTTAGCATCATCCTGGCCATTCGAAATGATTATCAGCAAATCGAAAAAAAGAAAGCCCAGATGATGAAAATATTTTTGTCTTTATAACGTGAACAATATTGAAAAAAGTATCTGGAGTTTCATGTTGTGTTTTTTTTGTGACATCGCAGTGAGTGCGAAGTGTTTTTTGTTAGGGGGAACATCTTGGGGGACGTTCATTCCCCCCATTGGGCCATAGGGCCATAGGGGTTTAGATTAACTCATGATGGGATGGGATTCCCTTGCGATGGATCTCTCCCATTTTGTCATGTTGATTATCATACCAGTAGGATCCATGTATGCTATATATGGTAACATTTACCATCAATGTACCCCAAATGTTAGCATATATACCATACATGGATCCTATGGGATAGCATATTGTTGGTTACATGGGGGGGATTCTGTAAATGGGGGTACCCCAATAGCTGGATGGTTCATGAATTTATTTCATGGGAAATCCGGAAATCACATATATTAAAATGGATGATTTTAAGGGTACCCCCAGGACACCTCCATTTTCTCACTTCTCTTCACCTTGACATTGGCCTCAACCATCTTGGAGTGGATACCAAGACCATGACCGTCAACGTGGAAGCTGCACAGCAAGGTTTGAGTAGTTTCTGACTTCAACTATTCTGACAGTGCTTGTGACCCATGATATTCCCACTGATGTGGTTAAAACAATGCCATAAACCACCCATGACTGGGCATGGTAAACATACCACCTATTGGAATCGTGATTTGGGGGATGCTTTATCATGGTTTTACCCACAATTCCCCATTCAAGTCCATTAAATCACCACTAAATCCCATGAAATATCACCATCAAATCATGTCTATTGGGTTGTATATAAGCGGTTTACTATTGTTAATTGTTTTAAGCACATTATATCAATCCCGTGAATCCGATGTAGGCACGTGCCAGGCTCCGGCGCGCCGCAAAAGTGGCAGCCATGACCAAGCAGATGGCTGAGCGTGAGTGGCTTGACGACTGGAACGGGGTAAATCGTGAAGGGTATGGGATTTCACTGATTTCACCATCTAAAATGAGGTTGAAGAACTTGTTAAGCGGCAAAATATATTCGGAAATCAGCATCCAAGAACGTGGGCAAGGCCCGGTGATGGTGAGGCATGGTGGTGTAATGGTGGTGAAATGGCTTTCAAATGGGGAAAAGCGGTGCAACCATGATCCGTTGGGGGAAACAAACTGGTGATGGACAGTTTAGTACTTGTTTTGTTGCTATGCTATTCATGTGGATAAAGAAGGCTACCTGGCTAAAAATGATGAAAAAACTTGGAGAACTAAACAAGTGGATGGATTATACCACATGATCACATGTTTACAGTGTTGGGGTTTTCTGGATTTACCATGAATTACCCGCAGAAACTTGAGCTTTTTGCAGGGGATCAAGCCACACAGATCCATTTGACTATGAATGAACAAATGTTGGGTGCATGGGTTACTTTGGGGTGCAACCCAGAAATCATAAGTGGGTTAGTGACGAAGGAAAAATCATCTGGCATATTCTAGTATGGTTATCAGGCACTTGGCAACTGAGATGCACATTGATCCAAATAGACGCCTCGTGAATCTAGGAACCTAGTACTGAAGAAAACATCTTTATTTGGCGGAATACGATTGGAATTGATTCACCATAGTACAGGGGTTGGTAAATGTCCCATTTTGGGAATATAAAGGACATCACCTTATAGTCTTATAGTAGCCATGGCATAGACCGTATAGCGATTTTGGTTGGGTGATGTGACCCATGGGGACATCAGTCATGACCCATGGTAGATACTTGGTGGCTCATCCCACTTAGTAAGTGGGTTATAACTTATCACCCTATACTGGTTGATTGGACCATTGGGTTATAACTTATCACAGTACAGTACTGGTTGATTCACCATAGTACTGTGAATTCTTCACTCGTCTGAATCTGGTGATTTTTTATCATTGGACCATTGGAACTGCGCAGTGGGATTTTTTCCTCGAATTCTGCTGGGGGATTTCACCAGCTTGGCGAAGGGTTGAACAGTTAAGAATCGGGGAATTTAAGTCAGATTCATTTACCAACCAGTAAGGACTTACCAACCATAACAATCTTAACAATTCAGTTAGGAACCTTGGGAAATTGTATTAAATGGTAAATCACCAACCAGAATGGTCAAGAATCGGGATCTAATCTGGTTGGTGATTTACCATTTAATACAGGCGGGATTGTCATTATTCCTTGCTGGTTGGTGGTTTGGAAGATGAATTTTATGACTTCCAATATATTGGGCATGGTGATTTGGTTGATTTGGAAAAATATAGCCACTAAAGATGGGAATGTAAGGCTATTGATTATAGATAATACTGACTGGTTGGTGGTTTGGAACATGGCTTTTATGACTTTCGATATATTGGGCATGTCATCATCCCAACTGACGAACTCCATCATTTTTCAGAGGGTTGAAACCACCAACCAGTAATTGTAATTAAACATACTTATATTATTTGGAAGTAGAGCAAATGTTGCCGTGCATAGGAGCTGAAGTGTGGTGAAGTGGTAGTTTAATGTCTTGTTTTGTTTGCGTTCATCAATTGTAGGTATGCTGCCGAGTATGTAAGATTGGCCATGTCATTTGCAGCGGGAAATTTGCCCATGCGCACATTAAAGTCATAGGAACATAATCATAAGAACAAAGATGATAAACATAAACAATCATAAACAACTTTTATAGTTATGGTTCATTATTGGCTTGACCACATTATGGGATTTTCACGTTTTGTCAAACCCACCTATGGGATTAAACTCCAGTAATGTCCCAGATTCATTCCCATTAGAAATGTCCTACACCAAGATCACCCAAGCTTTCGAAAAGGTGGGTGTTTAAGAAAGGGGGGAAGGATTCTTATATGTCTTCCTATGATATGATCCTTCCCCTATGAATTCCGATGAATTCCTATGATATGCCATAAACATCATAAACTTCACCATTAAACCCCATTGTATAAATATTGGGTTTCTGGTTTGGTGGTTTCAAGTGTTGTTCAATGTGTTTCATCTCCCATCCCGCCATGATGCTGATCCCTGGATGAGTTGGTCTAGCTGTGCCTACATTTGGCGGTGCCCCCTGCCAATTTCATGTTTGTTGGTTTAATACCAAACCTCTAACTAGTAGTTATTTCATCTGATTTCATCGTTTTTTTTGCCCAAGAGTTAAACATGGGTTAAATACCATGTTTAGGGGGATGGCACATGCATAAAACATCATTTTACATCAATTTACCCTCTGGTAAACCAACAAAGCTATTGAAAATTGCCATTTCCATTAGAAATCGTGATTTACCATAGTTTTTTGTATGTTTACCAGAGGGTACCAGCTATTTTCATGGGCTACCTTGGGTAACCTGGCAACCCATCCCCTGGCATCTCAAACGACACGGGTGAACCTTGCAATGCCAGGTCTTGAGAGCTGGAGGAGAAAAAGGGGCGTTGTTTGTTTTTTGTTGGGGAAAAAAACCGGCGCAAATTCGGAAGTTTTACATTAATAATCATTTTAATATTTGCTAAGTAACCAGTGAATTTTTTGAGGTGGTTCCCCAGTGAGCAAAGTTGCTGCAAATAACTCCAATTTCATGTGGGCTTATAGTAGATAATTATACCGAACTACTTAATGAGGATTATAAACCAACAAACAACACGGGGGGGTCACCTTGGAAATTATAATGGATTTGCAAACTCCCGGTTTGCCTAGGAAAGTGATCCACTTTCATTGCGGGTTTTCCATAGAGTTTTGTGGATATTTACCAGAGGGTATAATTGTTCAAAACATATTGCCAGCCCGTCTACTTTTGTCAATGGAATACTTATCAATGGGTGCTTTGGCTGTGTTTATTTCGAGCCATGCTGATGGACAAAGATTTCATATGCCCCTTGAAACTGGGTTGTTGAGTTGGCCCTGTACGGAAAATAATATGGAATCACCAGCAAACAATGTGCCCCCCCTTCAGTTTTAAGCAATTTCATTTCAGTTTCACTCATCCAACTGTAGATATAATATATCTACCACAAATCTCACAGCCAGGATAGTTATAAATCAACACAATCAACATAATCAACTTTTACTTCCCAGAGAAATAATACATCAGTAAACCAACAGAAACCAATGATGCAAGGTCCAGACTTGGTTTATAACCGTTGCTCTCCGGTAATCAAACATGGCTGGGATTACACCGCAGCAAACTTGTCTTGTTGACCACTGGGACGCACCCCCAAGTAGTCTAGTAATGATCGAGTATGTATAGGATGTCCGGGTAAATTAGAACGACTTCACTGTTCTCCCTCACGGGAATCATGGTTTATTTTTGGGAAATCATCCCCAAATGGCCGAAAGATTCAGGTGCTGCCGGGGTAAGGCTGGGGTCCGCAAGCGAAGTGCTGTGTCGCCTTAATTCAGGTAAAATATTGTAATCTGCCAGATATACGTATTTTTTTCACACACTGCTTGGCTCAAGTGCAGCTAAACTTCAGCCCCATAGGGAAGACCATATGAGGCGTCCATTTGAGGCACAAGAAATCCATCCTTTGGGCCTTCAATTTAACCTTGGCAAATGGTAATTTATATGGGTTTTAATGTGAGATGTACCACCGACTTCTTCAGGCACAGATTCCAAATACCAATTTGACAATCTTTTGCTCCACGGACCGTGTCTAAGTTGTCTAAGTCTACGCTTGGACATCCGGACGAAACTCCACGACTCTCACTCTTTAAGTTCGGTTTCCATCAGTTTCCTAGACTTGGGTGTTTAAAGAAAACACCATGAGGAGACCCCAAAATACTTGGTTTAGACCATGAAATGGCAGGAAAACTCCGAACATTTGGGGGGTCAAAAAAACAAGTTATAATAACTTCACCAGCTCCTTGGAGTGTGATGCCCCAGGATTTGTTTGGTTGGATTTGAAGCCTAAACCTATAAAATCCATTAAAATCCCATACACATGTTAATGATAATGAGGGTTTTTAATTGAATTTATTGATAGTCATTGATGTTTATTGATGTTTAATATTGTTGTTGGATATATCTATATCTACATATCCATCAACTCATGTGTTAACCTACAAAGTGGAGCCCCCCAGTTATAAGTTGGTTTATAAACACGAGTAAGTATAGTTAAAAGTACCATAAACCATAGTTATTGGAGTTATAAACCAACTTAGCTATCTTGGGGGCGCCACTTTGTAGTTATGTCACACACAGAAACCACCGAGCAGAAAGCACCGAAAGCACCAAGCCCCCGGGTCAAGTCCCACGGCTTCGTCGCCATGGGAACTTTGGGTCCGGACGCCAAAATTGCTGTTTCAAAATGGCGGTTTACGATTGGAATATCATGAGTTTGTGGATATACCATATATGTATATACATATATATATAAAACTATAAATTGATAAATTGTATAATCAATGATATAACATAATATTACATATATATACATAGTACATACATGCATGCATGCGTGCATGCATGCATGCATGCATTCCTACATACCTACATACCCACATACCCACATACCCACATACCCACATACCCACATACCCACATACCCACATACCTACATACCTACATACCTACATAACTACATACCTACATATGTACATAGCTACATAGCTACATAGCTACATAGCTACATAGCTGCATAGCCACATAGCTACATAACTACATAGCTACATACCTACATAGCTACATACCTACATAGCTACATAGCTACATACCTACATACCTACATACCTACATACCTACATACCATACAATATAGTGCAATATAATTTAATATATTTTAATATAATTTAATATATTTTAATATAATATACAGTTCTTGCATGTTTTTTTTTTCATATGTACATGTTTACTCTAGAGTCTAAGAGTAATCCAAAATAGTGGGTGGTGTCTGAAAATGATGTAGGGTACCCCCAGGTATGATGGCAATAGGCAATTTGAATCGGGACATATTTGATTATTTGAGTGTGTCTGAAAATGATATGTACCTGTCAAAGAGCAATTTTAAGTGAAGAATCATGGTACCATCAGATTTGGTGATTGTTTTCCCCATAATCTTCAACCAAATCCTAGAACTTACATATGTAAACGTTTATCCCAGTATAGTCAAATTGATGGGGCTGTTTGAAAATAGACTATACCCAATTGTATGGTAATGAATCTTCAGAAAACAACAAAAAACATATGCCAGAATCCCGTCACTTTCAATTTGATGATTAATTCCCACTCCTAGTAAATCCCATATAAGTAAATCCAATTTTAATTCGATTGAATCACTATTCATTTCCATTAAATCAACATTAAATCCCATATATATATATAAATCACCAATAAATTCCATTGACTCACCATTGAGTGCTATTAATCCCATATAAATGGCATCACTTTGACGGAATTACCCTTTCCTGACAGGCAGCACCTGCATGCGCGACTGCTCCCGAAGCGATGAGGTGGAGCAACCCTTGGTCGGAGGACTCAGAGGTTATGCTACAGTGAAGCCCGTCAACCATAATGGAGATACAGTGGATGGTTGCGAAATCCTCCACTAGTTCATAGGTGGTGAGTTCGAAACCATGGGGATAGCTAACCTATCATGAAATGAGAAGGGTGATGCATTAATGTGGGTAAAACAATGAATGTCATAAACCACCCATGACTGGGAATGGTTTATACCACCTATTGGAATGGTGATTTGGGGGATGGTTTACTATTGGTTTACCCACATTAGTGGAGAACAACCATAATGGAAATATACCCTCTGGTAAACTAACATAACTATGGTCAATCACCATTTTTTTATGGGTAAATCAATGACAAATGGACCATGTTCAATAGCTATGTCAAATTAATGGAGAGATAATCCTTAAACACATGGGGATTTTCTGGGAAAACATTGGGATTTCATTTGTTTTGGATTCATGAGGTTTAGTGGGGTTTAATGGGGCTTCACCATAACCCTGGGTTTGAAGATGATTTGGGTTTAAAGGTAGCGAATGATTGTATCCCCCACTTGGTTATAATCATCCAGATTGGGTCGGGTACCCCCAAATCATCCAAGTCATTCCCCTACCATTTTTGTGTTGAAACCCATGGTGACTTAATCTGAGAAGTTTTCGGGGAATACACTTGGGGACTTCTAAAAATGGGAGTACCCAAAACCATTGGTGTCAACTCTAAAATGGTCTAAATTTGGATGATTTGGGGGATCCGCCATTTCATGAAACCCCCATAATCGTCCGTATGATGGGATATGGGAAATATAACCACAATGTTTGTTTTTTTGGGTGGATTTAAACAACAAAAACATGGAGTCAAACTAATGGGATTTCCCATCAAACAGGTGATTTTTCGTGATTTTATAACCTTGTTAGGATTCAACCAACATGGAGGTAAACCAACCATATACCCTTTGGTGAACATACAAAAAACGATGGAAAATCCACCATTTCTCATAGGGAAAATCACTAGTTCAATGGTGATTTTCCATAGTTATGTAACAAATTACCAGAGGGTACTGGTGATGTGATGTGTATATCGTGAGATATTTTGACTGAACACCGTTTGAGCAATGTTCAAAACCACCGTGGGTTATTGATGATGATAAGAAGTTATACGACATGATACAGTAGGCGGGATTATCATTATTCCTTACTGGGTGGTGGTTTGGAACATGAATTTTATGACTGTCCATATATTTGGGAAGAATCATCCCAACTGACGAGCATATTTTTTAGATGGGTAGGTCAACCACCAAGCAGCTTATATTAAGTGGTTCTGCATAAGGTGAGCCCCACCAGTTACAAGTTGGTTGAGAAACAACGTGAATAATGGCGTTAAACAACTCCGATCAACCCAACAGTCAGCCAGTCGTGAACTGTGCGTCAACTTGTCGCGTTTTCGTAAACGGGACCCTCACCTTGTGTAGATTGGGGTCTCGTAGGGGGTTCTACTGGGTTTATTGGGGATTATGAACTAGTCATTGGGATAATTATTGATAAAACAATTGATTGAAGAATTATTGGGTTCACAATAGATTGTTCATAATAATCAAGTACCATCTATTTTGGGGGATCTTGATTGACCAATACAATGTGATGGGAATTCCGGAAGAACTTTTCATGCCTTAATTGTTAGTTTCTTTCAAGCTCCATGCTTTGATGTTCTCCTGGTTTCACAAACAGTAGATGTTTTGTGAAGCCACCAAAATTGTAGATCGTTTTCCGAAGGGAATCAGTGGGAAACACCCCACGTTTTTCGACGTTTGTTTGATGGTTAAGTTCCTGGTTATGACTGTTACATAGCCATGGTTTTTCGATGGCCCTAATCGAAATAGATGGCTTACCTATGAAACATGGTGATTTTCCATGGCGAACTGGCGAACTGTTAAATAACCAGATGGTAAGTTCCTGGCATTCCCTCAGCTCTGAAGACCGAAATCTTCTTGTCAAAGACATCGGTGTCAATGCCTATGACATCATCACCGTTCAAGTCTATGACAAGGATGACCGCGTGTATCGAGTTATCACTGGTAGTCATTGACAATGAGGAGAGCGAGACGGAGCAGGACATCACCTGGTGGACGGTGATGAGTTCACCTCCCTGACTTCAACTTTGACACGTTGACGTTGGTGATGGCGCAGGTGATCCCAATCTCACTTTGACCAAATGATGGAGGTCACGCTTTACTCTTGAAAGGAGTACGGCACGTCAAGGTCTTGGGCCCGGCGACACCCATTTGGACTGTGATGGATGAAATTGTTGACATCACGGACATTGAGGACACGGCATCTTCGGTGAATGCCCTGAACAGATGCTCATCAAGCTCAAGATGTTGGGAGGTGTCCCAAGAGACCTCAAGAAGTTGGCAGTCTGCTGGTGGGTTCTGTACCAAAGGTGGTTGAATTGGAGGAGAAATATGAGGAGTTCTACAATTCGGCCGATAGAGACACAGCAACTGCCTGGGATAAAGCGGTTCCTATCCCCACTTAATGAGTCCCATAACTGGGTATGTTTTTTGTATTTATATATTTACAATGTTTTTTAATGGCTTATACCCTCTGCTTCTTTGAGATAGCTACAAGTATGGAAAATTGCCCATTTATAGATGAATAATGAAGATTTACCTAGCTATTGAAAATTTGGATGTTCCATAGCTACGTTAACTAACCAGATGGTATGTTTCATTCATAAGTGGATTATAAGATATCATAAGTTATACCCCCGGTTGCGACAAAGAATTACCCAGTTCCAAGACTTAGATCCATTAAATGATCTGGGATGCGCTTTAAGGCTTGGGTCCGGTTGCCTCTTGATTTTCCAATTTACAAAAAAACATACGGCTATGGGTCATTTTTTTTAAAGTACCGGTGAAATTGGACGGTTAACTGATTGGTGGTTTGGATGATTTTTTGCATTTTCCCATTAATATTGGGAATCATCATCCCAACTGACTTTCGCATATTTTTTTGTAGGGGTTGGGTTGAAACCACCAACCAGATTATTATTAACCATCATTAACCATATATTAACCATTATGAACCATATATTAGCCATTGAAATCCCATTAAAATCCCATTAATATTGAAAATACACTGGAATCTGCGGTTGGGTCTTTAATTTTGATCCGACTGCCGGAATCAAGGTGAAACTCATTCCGCTGCTGTGTCCCAGTACCTCCGCGACGAAGGTGTCGATGGATTTTTGGTGAGGGTCAAAAGCGAAACAATGGGGGGATACCCTCTGGTAATCAAACATGGCAATAAAAAAGCACCAATTTATACATTCTGTTTCCCTTCTAATACCATTTATCTAAGAATTTCAAGTGCCAGTTTTGATTATCAGATGGCAACTAGAAACAAAAACTGTAAAGGATGCATAACATGGCTCATTGAGGGGAAAGCTTTGGGATTTCGGATTGTCCCACCAGATTTTTAACAAGGGTTTGTGCTACTCTAGTCTGACTGCATCAAGGGAAAAGCCACCAATCCAATGGTTTTTCAACATGTTGAAACCTTGTTTTTACAATTAAAGTTCTGGTTGGTGGTTTGGAACATGTTTTATTTTCCTCAATAATAGTTGGGATGATGATCCAATCTGACTTTCATATGTTTCGAAGGGGTTGAAACCACCAATTAGAGTTGCAATATGTTTTGATGCAGTTGCTTTGTGTGCCAACCCAGATGACGACGGGTTAAGTCCTACTTTCAGGGGTATACTGTTGGCGAATGTCAAGTCAATGAGTTATGTAGGTATCTAAGGTTGACCACGACCTGAAATTTAACAGTTGGGATGAACCAACAGAATAAGTAAAATACCGAGATATTAGCAACAAGTTGGTACGTTGTTTTTGGATTTGACCAGCAAAAATAGGCATTAAACTTAAACCAAGTATCAAGACGTGGACGGGTCAATACCTATGATGTTCCATTTAGCAGTAGTTTCGAAATGAGCTGATGAACATCCATGAACACCAGCTTTTTGGGTGTGAGAACAAGCATCTCAGAGCACCGATTTGCCGTTCACGCTCACTTCGCTGGGGCAAGTGGTGTGGTGGCAGGGAGCGGGGACTTGGACTCCGTGTTTGTAAAATTACTGTTTGGTGGTTTGGAACATTTTTTATTTTCCATAGTATATGGGATAATCCTTCCCATTGACTTTCATTTTTTTCAGAGGGGTAGGCTCAACCACCAAGCAGATATCATATATGATCAGATTTCCACAGATTTCCCTATAAATAATATAATAATGGGATAAACCACCAACTGGTGCAGGATTTCCCTATCATAGTTGGTTTACCCGAGGCCCCGCGGCCACCCCGAGAAATCTCTGGCTCTTGAACACACCTCAGCCATTGGGCTATGTTTGAATGTTAAGGTACCAAGGATTTTTCTTTGGCCCTTAAACAGGATGCTTACATCAAATTTACATCTGCTAAATCCTATTCAACTGTGGTTGAATATGTGTCAGTGTTTGTTGGCTCTTCTTCCTATACATCACCTCCGCATAATCATGATATCCCATTATATACCATAAATACCATCATATAACCATTGTATCAAAATCATATCGCCACTTCATCACCATGTTGATTGTTGTTTTTTTCTCCACCATATCATTTAATTGTATATAATTATATATATATCATACATACCACTACCAAACACATATACAGCATAAAAATATATATATATACCACATATCTATATATATACCACTATATCACAACGGCCAAATCATAACCATTCTTTGCCTTACAGGATTGCTCCAGGGGTCAGGTGGCCACAGAACAGCCCGTTTATGGGCCCTGAATGGGATTGATATTGGGTATTAATCATTAATATATATATATGGTTAATACCCAATATAAATCCCATTCAAGCCACCAAATATGGATGTATCATGATTAATGGTATACATTATATGGATTTATATTGCTGGTTGGTGGTTTGGAAGATGAATTTTTATGACTTTCCATATATTGGGGATAGTAACCCCAACTGACTTTCATATTTTTCAGAGGGGTTGAAACCACCAACCAGATTGGGTAAGTATCCTCAAATATGGGTAAGTATATACCATTTAATGACAGTATATCACAGTTTACAACCTATACTTACGACATGGATACAACCACTATTACAATGTGGGGCCTCCCAGTGATGCCATAAGTCATATTTTTTGCCATTCCCAAATCAGTGGTTTATGACATTGTTTTACCCACATTCATGGATTATGTTCTAGTGGTTGTATCCATACAACATGGGGCCTCCCAGTGATGTGAATATTGCTTTATCACCCCCATGAATACTATAGTTATAACTACCATAAATCACGGTTATCTATCGTAAACGGGGCCCCACATTGTAAGTATCCCCAAATATGGGAAGAAATGATGGGAATGAATGGGATTGAATGGGATAAGAATGATCTTTCATAGGATAATTGGGATATTTCATGGGATATACAACCAACTTGCTATGATAATTAATTGGGTGTGTCTCAGCACATGGGTATATTCCCAAATGGCTACTTTTATAGGGAGAATGATGACGAGCTAGCGGATTTAGGCGAACGCTATTTTCAGACAAACCTATATCACCATTATGATACATCGATTCATTCTATTCCATTAGACAAATCGCACCATTAATCCATTATATCATTTTGTTTGAATCACTATCACCATAAGATTAAATATAACCCCATGAATCATAACCCATTTGCAATGGTCCCATTAATTAAATCCCATTATCACCATCATCATATAACCCACGTACAAGCCCTATATAACTGGGTCATACACTGATCAGCAAGCATGTTTGATCGGATGCACTCCTAGGTATATCCCATTGTAAAGCTAACATATTCCACTGAAAAAACAGTAGTACATTCAAGGTCATAACCTCATGGTCATAGGATATTGCCGGTTCCCACTATCATATCAGCATGTTCGAAGTAATATGTATTATATATACACAGATAAACAAATCCATGATTTTTATAATCATATCATACCAACTAAAATGATGGTTCGATATTATGGTTGTAATCGCAAAACAACGATGATTTGATAACATGTTTCCCATTAATATCCATGTCCCATTGAGTCATTATAATATCCCATGGTTTGATATGATTATGGCTTTAAGATGTTTTAAGTCAGTAAGTCACCCCATTTATGGAATGATGACCACACTTATAACCATTTAGAACCATTTGCAACTTCTATTTCGGGCTTTGAAGTGGTTATTCCATAACCAGCCGTGCAGCATGTCGTTACCGTCGTTACGGTTGCCGCAGATGCCCATCGAACGTGTGAGCTCTGCGCAGGACTCCGAAAAAAGGCTACCATTGAGGGGTGAGAAACGCCATGAAATAGCAATACCGTAATTACCGTAATGGATGTTGTAATAGTATGTACCCCTGGTAAGTTAACAATTTGACCCTGAAAATCACCAATTGTTAATGGAAACTAGTCTTCCAACCCCTATCTGCCAGGGTCTATGTTAATATACCAGAGGGTAATAGTTGTTGTATCCATATCTTAAGTACCAACAATGGTGGCTATATCATGTCATATACTGTTATATACAGACCCCAGAAACATGGGTTCAATATGGATTATACATGGTGAAGATTCCCCAATAATTCTTTATTTATAGGGGTAATGCCCCTTTTGTGGTAAATTCTAACGACTTCACGGTTCTCCCTCACTATAATGATGGTTAGTCAGGGGATTTATCATAATATAGCTGAACTTTTCAAGTTAGTGAATTACTTAAATTTACCCAGTGGTTAAACCTTGGATTATGTTTCTTTGTGGGATCCCCAATATGTTATAGTATATGAATTATTTGTAGCAATAGTTTACCCATGTAATAATGGATCTATGGCAAAGCGGATATAGCTATAGTTGATGGGGGTTATAAACCAACTTAACTGGCTACTAGGAGGATCATCCACTCGTAACTGGTTATATATATATATATATATCAATAACTATAGTTTTAACCCATTTCTAAATGGGATAAGCCACAAACAAATCGGGACTTACCAACCAACTAGGCTTATTAAAAGTTTGCTGAGGATGATCTTTGAAGCGTTGGGGGATTGGTCGTCCCCTTCATAGGTACATACTAGATTCATTGTAAAGTTTCGAAACCTATACCCTCTGGTAAACTAACAGTTTGACCATGAAAATCACCAATGTTTATTAGAAATTAATCTTACAACCCCTATTTGGCAGGGTCTATGTTAATTTTCTGGAGGGTAATGGCTACCAACCTACATTTCATGGGCCATGGCTGCTTCTGGATAGTGCCCCCCAGAGGGTATAGGATGGTGGTGTCCAGTTACGTGAATGTTGGTTTATATTATAAGCCAAACAGTTATAAGTTGGTTTAGTTTCACCCCAAAAAAACATCCATCGACTAGTTCGTTATATCCACCAGTCTACCATAGTTACCCTCTGGTAAACTAACATAACAATGGAAAATCACCATTCTTTTTAATGGGTAAATCAACTAGAAATGGTACATTTTCAACAGCTATGTTAAATTGCCATAGTTTTTTATATCACAGCCATAAGGCAACGGTTTCAGCTATCGAACGGAAACAGCCATCCTGTAGGATGGATGTTTCAATTCTTGGTCACAAAAAACAACAGCGACCCATGGGGGTAAACTCCCCAACCAGTGGTGAGTAAATATATATCATGAAATATCAATCCAAAAACACTGCCAAGAAAAAAAACATGTTGGTTTAATGAACGTAAATAATGTTGGTTTAATGAACCAAAATATCACGATGTTGGTTCGAAAGTCACTTTTTACGTTCATTGAACCAACATCAAATACGGTTTGTCGGTTGAGCAGACAAGTTTGCTTATTGGAATGTCCTGTACGTGGAGCATCATGGGGCGCCACAGTGGAAGAAAGGCGCAGAGAGATTCCAAGGCCTCGAAGAACGTCCGACAATATTATTTGTTTTCGAAGATTGCTGGGGGGACTCTTCTCATAAGGACAGTGCAGGAATGCAGAGAGCAGTGCGGAGATCGCCCATTTTGGGAGATCAATCTGCTCTTCTGCCACAAGCGCCGGACGCTGAAGACAGAGTGGCTTGGATGGCGGCGGCTTTGGCAACGAGTCTGGCAATGCTGGGGTGGACCCCAGGAGGCCAAAGGGGTGGGATGAGCATTCACCATTCGTTCCATGTAATTTGACCATGGCGCATATGAGGCCAGGCCTACCTGATTAGATCAGATAGAGTTAGTTAACCGGTGATCGTAGCAGGGTTATACATCCACTTCTCACTGGGTTTTTGCTAGATTATCTAGATGTGATGTTGCCCAGCTACTACGAACTTTGCAGAACTTAGCTAATAACCACCTTATCATGATCTTGGGCCTGCACAGGGGTCCCCAAAAAAAGATGGACATGTATTTCCAGGATGGGAGTTCGATGAAGTTTTTCCTCCAGAATTTCCAGGGTTCCAATTTTTCGGCAGTTGTTTGGAGGGGTTTAATACAGAACAACCAGAGGGTAAGAATCCCAGAATTGGATGATTGGATCTTTTTGCGCTTGAAACCTTACCCTCTGGTTATTTAACACAGCCATGGAAAATGGCCGTCCCATTAAAACCTCCATTTATAAGGGATTTTCCATGGCTATGTTCAATAACCAGAGGGTAATATATTTGGGTTATCGTAGATGTTCCCTTAGATCAATCCATTGAAACTCATATTTTTTTGGCACAAGCCTAGCCATTGAACATCCCCATTTACTCTAGGACAACCATGGATGGATAGTGAGAGATCATGAGAAATCTATAGAAATCTCTAGGTATTTCAATAGGAAAAAATCGCCCCATTTCCTTGCCAACAATTTGTTTTTTTTGGCAATGTATCCAAGATTGGCAATGGATATATGATGATAGAAGGTGCATTGATCAAAGTATCAATGTTAGCAAGGAATATACAATGGATATATCATCAATGTTGCAAGGTGCATTCTCCACTGCCCTGCTTGATTGTCGGGTCCAACGGTACGTTTCGCCAAAACTCGGGTTCGATCTCAGGACGGGACCGAAGTAGCGGACTCCCACATAGAACTGCCGGTCCTCTTCGCCGAAGGATTAGCGGACGGTGATGTGATTGGATTGGTTTAAGGGAAATTTTACAGGAAACCATAGATTTTCCCATTAAATATGGGGCTTTCCTGTAAATTTTCCCTTAAACCAATCCATTGATGATGGTGCAGTTGAGGTGCATGACCAAATAGGCATAAAATCATGGGATAAATTATGAGCACAGGGATATACACGGAGATATCTATTGGGATAACAATAGAGACATTGAATGATATTGATATAATCCTAATAGATATCTCCATTTATATAATATTAATAGGATAATGATGGGATATTGATGGACATATCCATTTGGGGGTGCGGTGGAAGGTTCAAATTGATAAAATCATGGAATTTAAACCCCATAAATTGGGACATAAGCCCAATAACTATGGTTTGATATCCACGAATCCACGAATTCACTTGGAACTGCATTTCGAAGTGGGACATCACAAAAATCCTTGGGAGTGCAGCAAACATCATTAAAAAGTTAGTGAACTTATCACTCAAACGTGGCAAAAATGGGATGTTCATGGATGAACCCTCCAGTCATTGCCCACAGAAACTGCGAAGTGAAAACCAGCCGGGCTAGCTGTGCTGTTCGATGATTTTTACCGTTTTTAAGTGGTGATTTAACCATAGCTGTGCTATACTTTATCAGAGTGTACTGTGAATTCCATGGATCCAAAAAATGAATGTGTAATCAACTTAATTAATCATCGGTTATTAAGGATGACTGTGAACATCCTGTGTATGTTTGGGTTGCAATCGTCGGTCGTTATTCGCGTGTGGCTGTGCACCCCAGGAATGGTGCATGGTTCATAAGCCGTATATTTCCTTGGCAAATGATTCCGGTACATCCAACATGTTGCTTTGTAGTTCGTTTGATATGGATTTACTCTGTGGTGGATATTAACACTTTGCGAACTGGAAGCCATGGCCCATGAAATGTTCGTTGATTTACCGAAGATGGTGATTTTTCTATTTCACCATGTTAGTCTATTTTTTTCGCCATCCCAAGTGGCGTGGCTGATCTCAGGTGGAAAAAAAATGCTGTTTTTTAGGGACTGCTGGAGCCACTATTTTTATCTGATCTGTCATGATGACAGGGCATCAGTTGGTCAACTGCGAGTTTTTGTGTGTTGAATGTATGCAAATGTATATCTGGTTGGTGGTTTGGAACATGAATTTTATTTTCCATAATATATGGGATAATCCTTCCCAACTGACTTTCATAATTTTCAGAGGGGTAGGTATACCACCAACCAGATATATACTGTACTGTCTATATACTTGTATCTATATACTTATATACAGATATATACATGCGTACAGAAATGTTCGTTGACGTTTACTTGTATGTGCAAAGGTATATGTACATAGATATGATATAGATGCTTGTACCGCAAATTGGCGAAACTTGTATGTATGATTGGGCATGGGAGGCTGTAAACCATTCTACGAGGTGAGGTCCCGTAGATAGCTAAGTTGACTTATAAATTTTAGGTGAATTGGGTGGCTCGGTAGTACATCTTTATGCTTAACTTAATGGGGATTATAAACTTTTGAAAAAAAGGTGGCACCACCTCGTAGCAAACCTCCAGGGTGGTTCTACTTGTTCGGTATTTTCAACAGACTTCATAGGTATAGTCTTGCCTTCCCACGAAACGAAAAGGTTGGTGTAGCCAGATAACATATCTTTACATCATTCTGCAACACTGATTCGAACATGTCCCTTTTGTTCTTTTCATGTTTTATACACTTTTGGATTTATTTCGACCTGAAAATCAATGGATTGGTTTAGGTGATTTTTTTACAGGAAAATCCATATGTCATGGTAAAAACCTGGGATTTACCTGTAATTTTTCCCTCAAACCAATCCATTGAGAAAATGTTTCCACTGCGCCAAGACTCTCCAGAAGTGGCCCAGGTCAATGCTGGGCAGCAGATTTTTTTTCAGAACCAGCTGGGACTCCAAGTGCGGCAGTGGAGCGTGATGGTGACGCCGAGGCTTTCGAAAGGACACTTTTAAGAAGATCAGGGATATGTTTCAACATGGAAAAACATGGATGAAAATGGGGATTGCAAGTAACGCAATGGTTCATAAGAATGAATGGATGAATGGATACTTGATGATGGATAAAGATGGAGACTCTTAATAACAATGAAGGGATGCTTGATGATGATAAGGATCGTAGCTTTAAAAAAAATGGTTGAGATTCGCCCTTGACGAGTCCAAACATTGTTGGGGGCCTCCTTTTTTTGGCGGTGTGGTTGGATTGATCGCAACCTGGAGCAAGCATGAACTTGGGGAAGCCTAGCCTTGGTAACGCTTGGAGACGTGATGAACAAACACTAGCCATATTAAGTGATTATAACTACTTTTAAATCCTAGATAAAAATATGAATGGTTAACCCAATGGAGTTCTGGTATTGGCCAATCACCGACTGGTCATGAAGCAAGAAGCCCAGAGTGCTTGGAACATTGGGTGAATGGTTTCAATGCTTCAGTTGGGATATAGTCTCGAGGACGGTTTGCAGTGACACGCCAACCCACAAATTGTTGAGCTGAATCCAAACCTCCAACCCAAACTTCCGGGAACCACTGGTTGAATTACTGGTGACACTACTGGTGGGAATCACACTTGATGTATGTTATATTGCATGTGTATACTATGTCGGTTCTGAAAAAAACCACAGATGTTGGTAGATTTGAGCAGTGAGTGCTGCTCATCTTTCGGTACTGTACACAAAGACTCATGCGGTCCCACTATCCAAATCATAGATGTCCTTTTCCCACTGGTTGGTTGATTAATAGAGGGGTTTGAAGAACCCCCTTTAACAACAGGTTTCTATGATGATAGATGGTATACCAAACCGGCCCCTCTATTTTTACCAAATGGACATTATTGATCCAAATAGTGCTTTGTGCGTCTTATTTTATTGCGATGTATTTGATATGCCCTGGGATGATGTTTGGTGAAATAGCCACAAACAGGACCATACAACCAAGACCTCCCCAATGATCAGGTTTTTGTAAACCTTTGTAAAATGAACCAAAAACAAGCGGCTTCAGTGGCTCCTCAATGTTTTCAATCAATGCGGGGTGATGCTCCAGCACTCACTAGTGCTGGGCTGCATGTGCTTATCCTTTTTCGCTTTTTGCAGGATTAAATTTCGGTCAAATCACATTCTATGTTGATCACCCTGGTAAAAAGCACTGGATATGTTTCCCCTGATACTATCAACATGTGTTTTAAGATTTAAATCCTCGATATTGGAAGAATGGCTTTGCTAGATACAGGAGGTAATTTGGTGTATGACTAGGCTAACTCTTGGGTTTGTGGTGGCTATATAAATATGTATGTGTATTTATGTATATATATATACATATCCTTTGAGGGGAAACAAAACCAACCGAGATAATTGGGGACCCGTTCTTATGTTTAGACTAGAAATCCCGTTTTTGAGTCCCATACTATGGTACTATTGTTGGTAATATATGAAATATATCCTGATGTAGATAGAATTTGCATGTGTTCAAACATATGTTCATTCTATAGTGCGTTGTTGTTTCTTTGATATGTTCTATTTGTCCAAGATGACTACAAAACCATCCCCTAAATACTAAGCATCCCATTCTGTGGTTCCAAATTTGTGGTCCCAACAACTGTTTCTGGGTGTTTAGTATTACGGGGAAGATTATATACATGAGATACCAATGTTAAATAGAGTGTCGATGTGCTTTTTGTTTTGCCATATTCTATAATTATTCTCCAAGATTACTATTTCATTTATATATATAGAATATTTAAATAATAGAACGCTATAATTTATAGAATATTACTATAGTTTTTACATATTGTATCTATAATATATATATATATATATACATTATATTTATAAATAAATATACCACTTCATATCTCCAGAAAACGTCGTGACAGCGATTCTTTTCTAGGCAGCGCGCATCGATCACATCGATCACATCGAGCACCAGCACAAGCACTTGGAGAGCCAAGGCTGCCGAAGTTTCCGCTTCGCAGGTGCCGTTAGGGAGCAGTTGTTGCTGGCGGCCTCCAGTAAACTAACATGGCTATGGAACATGAACCATTTATAGTTGATTTACCCATTGAAAATGGTGATTTTCCATAGTTCTGCTAGTCTACCAAAGGGTAATTGTCCCTGTTTTGATGGGGTTTAAGTATCATTTATAGGGTTTTAGTCATACTATTATATTATACTATATTATATCACATCATATCATATTATATTATATTATATCATATCATATCATATCATATTATTTATATAATACTATATTATATTTTATTATATTATATCATATTATATAATATATATATACATTATGTGGGAGTTGTTTATTGATAAATGATGCTTCTTTGATGATTTGATCTGGATAGTACCCTTGATTTTTTTGGGGGGATTATCATAGGGCCATTGTGGGAATACCTTTCTTACCAATATTCATGGCTCAATGGATTGGTTTAAGGGAAAATTTACAGGAAACCATGGTTTTTACCATTAAATATGTGGTATTCCTGTAAATTTCCCCCTAAACCAATCCATTGAATGGCTGGTTGGTGGTTTGGAACTTGGAAAGTGGAAATGACATCCCAATTTCAACATATACATCATGAATGTTATATAATATTACCCACAGACACCGTGTGTTGCCCAAGCCCAGAATAGCGTAAATTACAAGGATTTTTTGTTCACACTATACATATCATATAAATTCTCCCACCCCGGTTAAACTTCTACATTCATTGAAGATTCTTCAATAAGGGTTTAATTCTCCCACCCCCGTTAAACTGTTCCATTCATTGAAGATCTTCAATAAGGGTTTAATTCTCCCACCCCCGTTAAACTCTTACATTCATTGAAGATCTTCAATAAGGGTTTAATTCTTCTACCCCCGTTAAACTCTTCCATTCATTGAAGATCTTCAATAAGGGTTTAATTCTCCCACCCCCGTTTAACAGTTCCATTCATTGAAGATCTTCAATAAGGGTTTAATTCTCCCACCCCCGTTAAACTCTTACATTCATTGAAGATCTTTAATCATTATCATCATCATCATCATCATCATCATCATCGCCATCATCATCATCATCATCATCATCATCATCAACATGCCGGGAACGTCCCTGTAAATCTCCGGGCAACACAAGGCGTCTGGCCGTAATATTATATAACTGGTTGGTGGTTTGGAACATTAATTGTATTTTCCATTAACATTGGGAATGTCATCATCCCAACTGACGAACTCCATCATTTTTCAGATGGGTAGGTATACCACCAACCAGTCATTGAATGACAGGGTTTCGAATATGGCTCAGTTGGGATGCAGCGGTGGACAATTTATGAAATGAAATCCATGGGGATTTAGTGGATGTCATGGGGATAAACCAAGAGGTATTGGGGGTTGCATGGATTTAGAACCAATGACAATGACGATTTAATGATTTTAATGTGATGTTCATTCGCAACCAACTGGATAGATAGGTTAATCCTTGAGTCTTATTCTGTAAATACTGTAATTTAAAATAATCATAACCAGCAAAGGACTTGTGTGTTGTGGACTACCAAAGATTGACCATGTATCCAAGTGAGGAAAGGGAAACTCCGATTGATTGCAGTTTTGGGGAATATCCCATGTTCAGGCACGCCCAAGTATAATGTCACCTTGGTTATATATCCCACAACATATCCCCATCATGGTCGATCATAATCCCAGAAAAATACCTTCCACACCCCATATTTTTGGGATTCCTTTGTGTGAGAAGTGCTGCTATCTTTCCATTCTATCACCACTATGGTTGGCAAAATAATATTATATACTGTTGCCCAAATCCCTATGTTTTTTCGTTTGATTCCTCACTGGTGGCCACATATCTCCTAAAATATCACCATTGTTTTGCCAGTATTATAGGACACATGGTGATGGCATTGGATTTGGTATGATTTGGTTGTATACCCCAAGTTCAGGCACACCCAACATCATATCAAGTTGCTTACATATATATATGTATATATATACGTATATGTATATATATATATACATATATTTACATATATATATATATATGTATATGTATATATGTATATATTTTTATCTATGTATATATATATATATATTTATCTATGTATATATATATATATATATATCTATGTATGTATATATATATTCTCTGTTGGCGTATATTCCAATGTATAAATATATACAGATATACCCATAATAAGTTGCTGTATGTAATGGTGTTTATGTATACATATATATATGCAGCAACTGATATAACGGTAAATCTATACTCCTTGTATATCCAATAACACATTCCCATGTTATTACCATATTACCTTTGATTGACCCCTATGACTATATCCCACTGGGAAGCAACATTGTGGTTCTATCTCCCATATCCCATAGTAATCCACCAAGTAGATCCCGCGGTCCTCGAGAGGTGGTATCCCATGTGTGAACGGGCGAACTGAGTATGCTTGCTCACCAGTTACTAAGTGGGATGATCCTCCAAGTATGCCCAATTATAAGTGGAATAAATATGAATAAGTTATATTTTAGTTATAAGTTATAACCCATAGGATCCATGTATGGTATATATAGTAACATTGGGGGTATATTGATGGGATCCATGTTACCATATATATACCATACATGGATCCTATGGGTAAGTTATAACCCAAGTTCCGAAGCAGTTGCTAAGTGGGGTGATCTGACCTGCGGCGAGTCGATGTCACAGAGTCCCCCGTGGCGAGGTAGACCCGACAGTGCCACCAGTACCCAATTGGTTTCAGGCGGGGAGATCAAGCGGATTCAAGCGACTCGATGGGTGCTCTAAAGTATATACTTTATAAAAAATAACTGACAATAGTAATATATATATATAGGAATAAAGTATAAACTAATAGTAATATAGGTAGTAAAAATATATAATTCCGTTTACTTTGATAATATACTCTACCTAATAGTAATAGGAATCAAGGTAATTATTATATATATATATATACTTATTACTTATTTATGTCGATTTATACCTATAAAAATAGTGATTATCAGTATACATTTATAGTAATCCTAATAGTGATAAAGTAATCCTACCTGTAAAATACCTGTAGTGATATATGCCTTACTAAAGAGTGGTATATATACCTATCCTACATTATGGCCCTTCACAGTTATTTTTATGGGCTGTTTTCATGACATATAACCTTAGTTTAATAGGAGTTATTTCATTCCACTTATAACTAGTTAGTTGGTCCATAACTGTACTTTATAGTAATCCTTAAAAAAGTGATGTATCCCCATTTTAATACATATGTTACAGTGGGATTTTACTCCTATCGCTAGTAATTAAGATTGTTTCAGAAATCACTATCACATACTATCACCATTTTTTAGGAATGCGACGTAATGTGGTAAACCCAATAATAACCTACCATTGGGGGATGGTTCTACCACCCGTTTATGGTGATTTGGGGGCTAGTTTTTTATTGGGTTGGACCACATTATCACTATGTTGGTTGGATTTAATTGTTCTATCTTTTTGATTCTGTTTGGTGGTTGCTATAATCTGTACATGGTGATATGTACAAACCCACCATTTCTCATACCTGGGTATCTAAGATTGGCCATGCAAGCTGGAGTGGGAACAAGACACCTGGTTGAAATCATTATGAATCTCTAGTTATGGCCTTCAAACTACCCTCTGGTAGTCTAACATAGCTATGGAAAATGGACCATTTATAGATGATTTAGTTGTTAAAAGGCTAATTTTCCATAGCTATGTTATTTTACCAGAGGGTAATCTAAGTTCCCGGATTCAAGTCTCCCAGTTATTGCAAGTGTTGTATACTTTTGATGATAAAACCAAATTTTTACCTGACCATTTTTTGGCCGCTCTCTTTTGTATGTCGGCGCGAGGTGGTTCAGTATCAGCCCATTTGTATGACAGATACTCAACCCTACAGCTATGGCCCTTAACAGTTATAAATTATAAATGGAATTATAACTCCTATAACTAAGGTGATATATATATATATATATATCATTATAAGCCCATTTAAACCAGTTAAGTGCCATACATGTAGTTGGTAGGCGGCGGATAGAACGCCGCCTGCTTTTCTGCGTTTTTCTGTTTCTCCTCTACTTTTTGTCACGCTTTCTTGCTGTTTTGATGGGGTGGGGTGGGGTGGGGTATTAACGTCCTGTTCCGAGTGCGTGGAACATGCTCCTTTCTAAGACGCTCTTGATGTTACGCTGTGCACTGTTCCCTGGGGTGGGGTGGGGTGGGGTGGGGTGGGGTATTAACGTCCTGTTCCGAGTGCGTGGAACATGCTCCTTTCTAAGACGCTCTTGATGTTACGCTTTGCACTTTTCTCTAGGAACTTTTGACACGCTGTTGATGTTACGCTCTGCACTTTTCTCTAGGAACTTTTGACACGCTCTTGATGTTACGCTTTGCACTTTTCTCTAGGAACTTTTCACACGCTCGTGATGTTACGCTCTGCACTTTTCTCTAGGAACTTTTGACACGCTCTTGATGTTACGCTCTGCACTTTTCTCTAGGAACTTTGGACACGCTCTTGATGTTACGCTCTGCGCTTCTCTCTAGGAACTTTTGACACGCTCTTGATGTTACGCTTTGCACTTTTCTCTAGGAACTTTTGACACGCTCTTGATGTTACGCTCTGCATTTTTCTCTAGGAACTTTTGACACGCTCTTGATGTTACGCTCTGCACTTCTCTCTAGGAACTTTTGACACGCTCTTGATGTTACGCTCTGCACTTTTCTCTAGGAACTTTTGACATGCTCTTGATGTTACGCTCTGCACTTTTCTCTAGGAACTTTTGACACGCTCTTGATGTTACGCTCTGCACTTTTCTCTAGGAACTTTTGACACGCTCTTGATGTTACGCTTTGCACTTTTCTCTAGGAACTTTTCACACGCTCGCGATGTTACGCTCTGCACTTTTCTCTAGGAACTTTTGACACGCTCTTGATAGGATTCTACTTGTATAATTATATACCTATTTACCATTATATTTATTAGTTATACTAGCTTAATTATACTTATATACCATTCTATGTCCCAGGTTTATGTAAATTCATTTGCGTCTATTCCATTCGCACCGCGAGGTTGGATGCTTGCATGAGCGCCAATACACTTGTCTTTTCAAAAACTTCTCCATACATGCTCTTTGTGTGTCAATGCGCCAGCTGCGTGAAAACAGTTTGCAGATAATTGTCACAGCACCACAACTCAGGAAACACAAGCTTCTCGCTCGTCAAGTTGTCCACCAGGACAAGGTCTACGCCAAGCTCTTGCGCACCATTCCCAAGCACTTGTCGCAGGTCGCAGGAACTCAATGCATTGATCGCCACTGGAGCAGTTTAAAGGAATTCATTGGAAAAACTTTCCCTCGAAAACTCAAGGGAACCTTTGGTTCCAAGCTGCACCCTGAAATCGATACTTTGATCAAACAATGGTTGTACAGAAATTCGGCACCTGGCGCCAGTCCTATCGAAGTGTATCAAAATTTAACTCACGTCCTGCCAAGCTTGTGATAAAAAGAAATGAACACTTACACATAAAACATTGCAAAAACGAAGTAGTTTTTCGCAGGATTTGAAAGGGTCCAAAAAATGGACGAAAGCAAAAAACATGACAAAACACAGGGAAAGTGAAAACAGTTGGAAAAACAGGCGGCGTTCTATCCGCCGCTTTCCATGTAGTTACAACAGTACATACTAATCCTGAAATCTTGCGACTGATTCGGACTGCATCGCATTCTTCACTGATATGCAGGTTTTTTTTGGTACGGTGTGGTTAAAATGGCTACAGTAGATGCTCCATCTCATCATTGAAAGGGTTGTCTTACAATGGCCATAGATGCCCCATAGATTTGGCAACGATACCACCACGACAAGGCTGTTGTGTATTGGGGGCCAAAGTGATGGAAAAGGCCGCAACCCATCACATTTTGCTGATGCATGATGCATTCGCCATCTGCAGTTGTTGGTTGAATCCCAAAACATCGAATATTCTTGTTGATTAGATGCATTTCTTTGTGCAAAAAAATCCAATTTTGATTGCACATGTCCCATCTTTTTTGGTTAAATTTGTACTTGATGTTGGTAAATTCAAACTGCCCATTTCGGCAACTTAAATCCCAATGTCCTCCCTTCAAAATCACCTTTTTTCCTGGTGAAAGATGAGTTAAATCCATGTAAATCCACATTGTTACTACAACGTGGGCCCCCGAGTTATAAGTTGCTTTGTAAACCCCATTAATTAAATAGCTATAAGTACCATAAATCATAGTTACTGGAGTTACAAACTAACTTAGCTATCGTAGGTACCCTCTGGTAAACATACAAAAAACTATTGAAAATGGCCCATTCATAGTTGATTTGCCCATTAAAAATTGTGATTTTCCATAGTTATGTTGGTTTACCAGAGGGTAAATCAGTGTTTTTCCACCGACCTCCCCCACTTTTCCGCCGAACTCCGAGCAGGTCCTCGAACGAAAAGCCGCCGTGGAACGCGCAGGGCCCAAGGAGTCGCCACGCTTCGAGGAGCGCGGAACGCCGCTGCAGACACCACGGGAGGGCGGCGAGTTTCGAACGCCAGGCAGGGGGGGGAGGATGCCAGGCAGTTCGTTAGCTAAGTTGGTTTATAAATGGGCAATTTTCCATGGCTATGTTAGTCATAACCAGAGGGTAATATGATTTAATGATATTTATAGCCTATATATGATAAGAAGATAGCTAAGTTGGGGTTCACATAACTCCCATTTCACTATGGTTTATGGCAGATATAACGAACTAGTTCATGGGGATATATAAACCAACATTCACATCACTGGGGGGCACCATCCTGTGGGGATCTGGGGAAATTATAAGTTGGTGCAAATAACTCCAGTAACATGGTACTGAATATGGTACTATTATGACTTATCCTGGGTTTGTTTAAGGTGATTTTTTATTTTCCCAATGGGGAATCCACCATTTGGGGAATCTATAGTGAATATGTTTTATTTTTGGGGAACCCTTTAAGCAAATCCAAGTTATGTACTATTATGACTTATGGTTCTTACAATATGGTACTATTATGACCTGGATAAATTAGTTATATCATGATTTATGGTACTTATAACTATACTTAATGTGGTGATATACCCCATGTCTCGTTGGTACATGGATAGGTAAATGGCCCAACCAACAGTTACAAATGGAATTATAACTCCTATCACTAAGGTTATAATATCATGAAAGAAGCCCATAAAAATAATTGTTAAGGGCCCTAGCTGTGGAGAATGGGGCATGGGAGAATAAGATTAGGCTGGGGGAATAGGCTGAGTATGTTCCACATGTTGAAGATTTAGTCAACTATAGTAGTTTTGAATAGTATCACTAACCATTGATTTTAACATAACTACCTGGTTGGTGGTTTGGAACCTGTGTTATTTTCCATGATAAACATGGTATGTCATCCCAACCCCATTGACTTTCACTCCATAATGTGTCAAGATGGACACATTGCACCACCAAGCAGTAATCAATATCCCATTATTATCCTAATAAATATCTCCATTTATATCCCTGTGATCATCATTTATCCCATCATTATATGCCTATTTGAAAATTCACCTCAACTGCACCACTATAATACCATTATAATACCATTATAATACCATTATAATGCCATTATAATGCCATTATAATAGCATTATAATAGCATTATAATAGCATTAAAACCACCAACCAGAAGTTGGCTGAAGTTGGTTAAATCATGGCTGTTCATCACATGATTTGGTAGTTGCTTAAGTCATGGTTTGGATCCCACTATGGTCTCCCTGTTTTTTTTCTTTCTACTACAATGTGAGGCACCCAAGATAGCTAAGTTGGTGCAAATAAGTCCAATAACTATGGTTTATGGCATTTATAACTATTAGTTACTGGGGCTTATAAACCAACTTATAACTGGAGGGCCTCACATTGTAAGTCGTGGTCGAAAATGACTTCGATGATGCTCGAACGGGGGGTACCTCCATGAGTTTAGGACATCTCCATAGTATCATGACCATTGTAAAGATACCTGCAATTCAAACCACTGGTTGGTGGTTTGGAACATGTTTATGACTTTCCATATATTGGGAATAATCATCACAACTGACTAATATTTTTAAGAGGGGTTCAAACCACCAACCAGCATATCTACAATTGTTCATTATGAGTCATGAATTATGAAAATTACAATTATTAACCATTGGGTTGATTGAACCATGTTTTTTAGGGGAAATATCTATAGTAAATGGTTTATTTTTTCCGGAATATGTATATACATATTATATATATATGTCTATAGAACAGAATTATTGTTGGTGGATTATGATATGTGTTTATCTGTAATTCTATAATCAATAGTCAATGATTAATCATCATTGTGATTAACCATTGGGTTGCTTAAACCATGAAGACCCATGGGGATTATCTGATCAAAACCTATGCCTATAGTTCATGAAGTTTCTAAACCAACTTAAGAAGAAATCGTGGGGATTAATGGAGGTGTAATGGAGATGGGATATCATTAGCTTTCCATAGATGTCATGAACTTGATTCTGTTAGTTAACATAAAATGTGTATCTTCATAGACATATCGAATGGGATAGCCTATTATTCTACGGGATAGTCTATTCTGAATATCATTCTATGGGATAGTGTATTCGTAATATCATTCTATGGGATAGTCTATTGTAGTAATTATAATATCATTCTAATGGGATAGTCTATTATTCACAATACAACAGGAATATATTCAGAACGATCAGATTACCATGGGGATTCCACTAAAAGATATGGGACATGTATCTAGGATTATATAAGGGTCTCCCCTGCGACGAAAAAAATACACACTATAAATCCCAGTTTTCCTACCGGAAAATGTGGGAACACATAGGAAGACTCGGATTTATGGTAGATATATCTATGATTCATCTACAGCTACTGGGTTGATAAAGAGGTGTCCTAAATCATGGTGGAACCAAGCTATAATCCAAATGATTGGTCCTGTTTGACAAGGGGGTTCCCCCATGGTGACTGGGGGTATCCAAATTTTAGGAAAACCTCATATCAATGGCCATTTCAGGAACCGATTGATTGATGGTACCTACCCTATATTGGGCCATTTTCCATGGCTATGTTCGAAGGAAGTTTAGAAGTGAAACTTCCGACAATATGGACAGTTGAAAAGCAGAGCTGAGAAGAGTCAGAAGAGAAAAGATCAGAAGAAAGAAGATGCAGATGCGCGAAAAGGTAGGAAAGTCGCGATTCACTGTGTTTTTCCAATGATTTGTGGCTCCGGAGGGTCGAAAAGTAGGCTCGCTAAAGCGGCGGGTGCGGAGCCAGCTGGCCAGATGAGAGATGAAAAGTTGCACGCCGTTGTGGTCAAAATGTACAAAACACACCAGGTCCGGACCACTTTTGGAAGTTGAGATGTCGAAAAAGTGCACGCCGTTGTGGCGCGAAGTACATTTCCAAGTCAAAATGTACAAAACACCTCAGCCTCGGACCACTTTTGGAAGTTGCGATGTCGAAAAAGTGCACGCCGTTGTGGCGCGAAGCACATTTCCAAGTCAAAATGTACAAAACACCTCAGTGTCGGACGACTTTTGGAAGTTGAGATGTCGAAAAAGTGCACGCCGTTGTGGCGCGAAGCACATTTCGAAATCAAAAGTGTAAAAAACTGCGGGTTTTGAGCCTTTTTTGACGTGAAGATGTCGAAAAAGTAGACACTGATTAACTTAACTAACTTGACTAACTTAACTAACTTCACTAACTTAACTACCCTAACTCCGACGACAACAGCAACAGCAACAGCAACAACAACAACAACCACAACAACAACAACAACAACTACAACTACAACAACTACAACTACAACAACTACACAACAACTACAACTACAACAACAACAACTAAAACTAAAACTACAACAACTACAACAACAACAACAGCAACAACAACAACAACAGCAACAACAACAACTACAACAACTACAACTACAACTACAACTACAACAACTACTACTACTACTACAACACTACACAACCACTACAACCACACAACAACTACAGCTACAACTACAACAACAACTACAACTACAACTACAACTACAACTACAACTACAACAACTACAACTACAACTACAACAACAACTACAGCTACAACTATATGACTGCAACTACACTACACTAATTACATTACACCACAACTACAACTCCACTACGCTACAACTACAACTACAGTTGCAGTACATCACACTACATCCAGCAGTTGTGGTTGAGGTGACCACTGCAACCATTGCAACCATTCCAGCAAACACAACTCCAACCACCTTTCGGTCAATCAGTGGATTCGCTCTGCCATCCGTGATTCACAACAACCAAGGTCTCCTATAGGTTTCCTATTTTTGAAACTTCCGCCACCGCCTTGTGCGGTACTACTGGTAAATAACCAGAGGGTAGATGTAGAATAGGCCTTTGGGCCTCGAGGTTCAATATCTTAGCTGGAAGCTGGTCTTTGTGAAGGCTATGGACAAGTTATCAATAGGAGAATCATCAAACGCAATGGTGGATTTTCAATTGCCACGTTTGACTACCAGAGGGTACATGAATTTAGCCGTTTGACTACCGATCAAATACACATATCATATCCCCATTAATTTTCCTAATTAATTGATATATATATATATACATACATAATTATATATATATATACATATTTATATATACATATATATATATATATGTAATTCATATGTCTGTATATGTATGTGTATAATTTATATTTATATATATATAATTAATTATACATTACAGTACATTAATAAAATGAACCCGTTGCTACTAGGAATGCATCAGCCTGAGGCCCTACGCCTCGGCTGGATCCCATCAAGTCTGCACGAGAGACGGCAGTGCCACTGCCTGAAGACGAGGAGGGTCCCACCCGGGTCGCGCTTTTTGGGCGGTCTTTGAATGCCTTAGCACCGCTGATATAGTGGGATATAGTGATATTTTATGGGATTTAGTGGTGATTTAATGGACTTGAATGAGATGTAATGGGTGATATAATGGGTGATATATGGGTATTTAATGGACTTGAATTATTTAACCCAATTAGACATGATTTAATGGTGATATTTCATGGGATTTAGTGGTGATTTAATGGACTTGAATGGGGATTTGTGGGTAAAGCAATGATAAACCATCCCACAAATCACCATTTTTTAATAGGTGGTATGTTTACCATTCCCAGTCATGGGTGGTTTATTAGTGTTTTAACCACATTAGTGGAGAACCATAATGGAGATATACCCTCTGGTAAACTAACATATAGCTTTGAAAAATAACAATTTCGGATTGCTAAATCAATCTAATTCACCTATAAATGCAATTTTCAATGTTAAATTACCAAAGAGTAAGCCAATTTATAACAGTTTATAACCATCATCTTCCAGTGAAAGCCTGAAATATCAGTTATAAATTTCTATCAACGGCTGTAATCGCAGTTATCATTCCATAATGGTTGGTATCATGTTCCCTCTTATTATTTCAAAATTCCATGTGGAAGGTACGTGGTGGCTCATCTCACAAATCCTAAGTAGGTTATATCCCTGATATTGTTAGTGGGATAAGTAGGGTAAATCCACTTATAAATAGGGCTATAACCTACCTAGTAAGTGGGACGAACCACCAAGTAGACCCTATATTCAGACACACCCAGAGTTTCATATGGTTGGTTAACTCTCCAATCATTCCTAGCATGCAGTATTCCATTAAATCACAATCTGTACTTGTCAAGGCCCCATTTTCTTTTAACATGAAATCTCAAACAATCCAACTGGCAATCAGTTGCGAATTTATCCTATAAAACATATACCTAGTATATCTTATCCCAGATATTCGGATATTACATGCCCAGTATTATCCCATCCCCAATAACGTGGCGTATATTCCTATCCCCCGTCGTATCAGGACCGGGAGCCAGAGGTGAGCTATGAAGGCACCTACCTTGGGACCATGAAGCGACTTGGCAGCGGACTTTGACCAGGAAGGATTTACCTACAGTAAGTGGGGCCCCCCAGTGATGTTAGTTGGTTTATAAACACCAGTAGTTGTATAGCTATATCTACCATAAACCATAGTGAAATTGGAGTTATAAACTGACTTAGCTATCTTGGGGGCCCCGCTTTGTACAGTATGACATAGGATTTGACCATCAAGGAAAAAACATGCTCCGGGTTTGAAGCTGCATTTTGGGATGTTTGGGATTTTTGCTTGATGGTTGACCAATTTTGCCTATGTTTTTTTGTTTGTTATGTGTTGTTTCCTCGTATTTGACCATGAAGAATTCAAACATGGAGGCTGAAGCCATGAAAATTAGGATTTCAACCGGAAGGGGAGCAGCTGCAATGCACGCCCTCCTCTCCGCGACAAAAAAAAGGCAGCGCTGCCCGACGCATTTCGCTGTCGACGAGCAAACCCAGATTGCTGAGTTCTTCCAGTTTCTTTTGACAGAAGCATGTGGCAAAATGGGAGGCACAACGGTACAACGGTACTGACTTGTGAGGCAAACAGGATGCAGAAACGCTCAGATCAGTCTCTGCCATACCCAGCCGGGCCCAGGCAAGCGGTCCCATGTCCTAAAAATTCGGGTTTTTGACCAGCAAAACTTCGATTTGTTTACTGGCAAAGATGTTTTTTTACTAGCAAACACAGTGATTTACCCGGCGAAAATAGCGGGTTTTGACGACAAACATGGAAGGATTTTTTTTTGTTTGCCAGCAACTATTGGGATGCTACATTGCTACATTATTCTTGCAACCAAAATTTTGGGACGTTATCAGCAAAAAAAACGCTGGCTTTTACATTCTGGTTTTGCATCATTCCGTTGGCACAGAAATGAATTTTACCAGCAAAAATCGAATTTCAACCAGCAGAAGCGGAGACTTCACACGCAAGGGTGGTGAATGGTGATGTGTTTTTCTGTTTGCCATGTTGATCGGAAAGTTGGCTATTGCAATTGGCAGCTAAAACATAAAGTTATGTGTAGGCTATTGGAGATTTATGAGATTGGCTATGTTGGAGGTGTTTTGCGTGATAGAAATTTATGTCAGACCCCAGATTGATAAACCCTTGATTACTGTATGCTGTTTGATCATGGTTGATCATATCAGTGGCGAATCAACCAGTATAGCCATTGATCTGGAGTCGAGGCTTTTGGTTCTGGAATGGTTTTTAAAGACATAGCTGGTTTGTGGTTTGGAACATGTTTATGACTTTCCATATATATTGGGAATAGTAATCCCAACTGACGAACTCATATTTTTCAGAGGGGTAGGTATACCACCAACCAGATATATAGTTTGATGAACATTCAGTCATGGAAATGAGAACACCGCAGGTTCGAGATGATGATAGTTCAATTGAGGCGGTTATGAAACAATCCATGATTTACCCTCTGGTAAACATATTAAAAACGATGGAAAGATCCACCATTTTATAGCTGGGTAAAGCCACTATTTCAATGGCAATTTTCAATGGCCATTTTCAATAGCTTTTTGTATGTTTACCAGAGGGTACACTATTTGATGCCAGACTCAACGAAGCAATAGAACCACAACCCACATTCGCTCAGCTGCGATGTGAGACAAACTGTGGTTGATTTTTGCAGTGAAGCATCCTGAATTCAGAACAACACTGGTACCCAATGATTTCACAATCAAATACTAGTGCTTTGGAACCATGGAATTTTATTTTTCCATATCATGGGAATGTCATCATCCCAACTGACTTTCATATTTTTCAGAGGGATTGAAACCACCAACCAGAATACGTGTTTCTTTACATTTAAGCTGATGTTGATAGGTTTCTCATTCCAGTGAAACAATTCACCAATTTACGCTAGAATGATTTGCCAAAAAAAATCGTAGCAGTCCAGAAACTTTGCATTTCCATGCGTTTCCATGCATTTCCGTGGATACACTTCTGCACTTTCCATCGGCCGAGAATTTCTGATCCCAGGCACGGGAAGGGCCGGCTTCGGATGCAGAACTACACCTATGAGGCGAGTGTGATGAAAAGTGGCGAGCAGTTTGCGCCAGATTTGCGGATGCTCAGGAAAAAAATATTGGTATTGGATACAAAAGCCCCCACATGGTTGAAACTTGGGAATGGCCTAGTAATTATTGGGTTTACCGCAATGTTAACATATGATTAAGATTTTCCACACCTGGCGTATTGAAGAATTGGTCCCAGAGTTCAGCGAACATTAGCAGTGGTGACTGCTGGATGTGAGTCCGTGAGACATCATAACCTCGGAGATCTATCACCAGCCTGGCACGTCCTGCCCTGGCAGCAGCAGCGCAGACGGGTGGCCACTGAGACATCGGTGCACGCTATGCCGGGATGTCCCATATGATGATCTCATGAAGATTTGCATCCTAATAATTCCTAGCCATGGAGGGGTCACAAATCTAAGCCGAAGATGTCAATCATATCCAATCATAAGATTCGGGAAATACCAGTACCGCACAAGACGGTGGCGGAAGTTTCAACGATAGGAAAGGTTTGTTGTTGAGATGCATGGATGTCAGAGCGAACCCACTGATTGACAGAAAGGTCGCTGAGGCTCTGAGTCTCTCTCTCTCTCTCTTTTTGTTTGTCTATCCATCATTATCCATCTGTCTATCTGTCTATCTTTCTATCTGTCTATCTACCTACCTATCTAAAGCAATCAATCAATCAATCAATCAATCCATCAATCAAGGAAGCAAGCAAGCAAGCAATCTATCTATCTACCTATCCATCCATCCATCCATCCATCTAATCTATCTATCCATCCATCCATCCATCCATCTAATCAATCTATCTATCTATCTCTCTCTCTCTATCTATCTATCTATCTATCTAAATCTAAATCTATCTATCTATATATCTATCTATCTATCTATCTATCTATCTATCTATCTTTCTAACTATCTATTTACCTATCTACCTATCTACCTATCTACATATCTACATAACTATCGATCTATCTATCTATCTATCTAAATCTTTTTATCTAAATATATATATATATATATCTAACTCTCTATTTACCTATCTACCTATCTACCTATCTATCTATCTATAGTGACGGACAATCACTTAGAACGTAATTTTTTCCAATTTTTTTTTCGTACTTAGAACGTAGCAAAATTTCATCACTTAGAACGTAGGGAAAATTCATCACTTAGAACGTCAAAATATCACTTAGGCCCATTTATCACTTAGAACGTAAACCAACACTTAGAACGTGCTAAGTGATTGTCCGCCACTATAATTATGAACAATTACCATATGATATGTATATATACTTGTATATATATATATATAAATACATACATTATAAATGTATATAATATAAATACTTCTACAATCCAAAACCTTCGAGAAAATCGATGAGGTACCCACCGTTTCAAATCAACTGTGATGGTTCCCTTCCATGCACAGTAAACATAACCCTCCAACCTTCAGAGTCCCTGAGTGGCTTCGCTGAGTGCGGCAACATGATTTCACAAGCCTTTCCACTATCATCAGTGACCTAGACACGTTCTAAGTGTTAAATCCCCGGTACGTTCTAAGTGATGAATCTTGATATTTGGACGTTCTAAGTGCAAGGCTTAGAATGTAAAAAAAGCAGTAATATTCAGATTTTTTTTCCAAAATACGTTCTAAGTGATTGTCCGTCACTATACCTATCTACCTATCTACCTATCTACCTATCTACCTATCTACCTATCTACCTATCTACCTATCTACCTATCTACCTATCTACCTATCTACCTATCTACCTATCTACCTATCTACCTATCTACCTATCCATATCTAACTATCTATCTATCTATCTATCTACCTAAATCTATCTATCTAAATCTATCTATCTAAATTTATCTATCTAAATCTATCTATCTAAATCTATCTATCTGTCTATCTTTCAATCTATCTATCTATCTATCTATCTATCTATTTATCTATATATATCTATCTATCTACCTTTCTATCTATCTATCTATCTATCTATCTTAATCTATCTATATTTCTATCCACCTTAATCTAACTATCTATCTATCTATCTATCTATCTATCTAAATCTATCTATCTAAATCTATCTATCTGTCTATCTTTCTATCTATCTATCGATCTATCTATATCTCTAGCTATCTATCTGTCTAGCTGTCTATCTATCTATCTATCTATCTATATCTCTAACTATCTATATCTCTAACTTTCTATATTTTTTTCTAACTATCTATTTCTCTAATTATCTATCTATCTATCAATCTATCTAAATCGATCTAAATCTATCTAAATGTATCTAAATCTATCTAAATCTATCTAAATCTATCTAAATCTATCTAAGTCTATCTAAGTCTATCTAAATCTATCTAAATCTATCTATCTATCTATCTATCTATCTATCTAAGTCTATCTATCTCTATCTAAGTCTATCTAAGTCTATCTAAGTCTATCTAAGTCTATCTAAGTCTATCTAAGTCTATCTAAGTCTATCTAAGTCTATCTAAGTCTATCTAAGTCTATCTAAGTCTTTCTAAGTCTATCTAAGTCTATCTAAGTCTATCTAAGTCTATCTATGTCTATCTATGTCTATCTATGTCTATCTATGTCTATCTATGTCTATTCTTCTTTCTTTCTTTCTTTCTTTCTTTCCTTTCCTTATTTCTTTCTTTCTTTCTGTATTTATTTATTTCTTTCTTTCTTGCTGAAACATCTGAAACATCTGAAACATGTGAACCGAAGCAATTCCGCGAGACTTCCTCAAAAAATTAACGCGCACAGCTTCAAAACGCAACAAGTTTGTGATACCTCATCAAAAAGTGAAAGTTCGCAGCTCCAAAACCATGAAAATTTGCGAGACTTCTTACAGTTTGGAAATTGACAACGTCAGATACGAAGCAATTCTGTGAGACCCCGTTTTTGAAGAGTGCAGACCTGACAGCCTCGTGCCAATGCGTTTGGCGATTTTTCCATCCCATGTCCCGAAAGTATTGCGCCGCCAAAAAGTGAGGCCATGTCATACGAAGTGCTGCACCTGTCTCGCAAAATCATGTTACCAAAGCCGAGGATCTGATGCTCCAAAATGGAACCTCTCTCAGGAAATCAGCGCCCGGACCTCATAACATGTCTGACGCATGTGTCTCTTGTACTGCGCGTGCCACGCAAAATGCATCTTTGCAGATCCTCTTTAAACGTCCCACGTTTGCCATCGTTTTTTCTGCTACAAAAGTCTCACTTTGGCAATGCGCAGAATCTATTGCGCCTGCCACGAACAATGCCCATTCGACGTCCAAAAGTGGTGCGAAAGTGGTGTGTTTTAACTACCAAACATAATTTTCCCAACTGATTGACGGGTTTGCTTTCAGGTCTTTCTAGTTTATGGTTCCTTGATATGCAAACTTGGATATGTACCGTATACATCCGTATACACGCAAGACTTGAAACCAAGAGTTCTTCCACATTACATACCTATGTATAGCGTATAGCTCTACAATTGCTAAGCTTCAAAACTAAGACAGACAAAGACCCACGTTCTACATTATTCAATGCATAAAACTTACCAAAATGCGCACTCCCACAAGTTAGGGCGACTTCGTGTGGCCCAAGTAGCTGGTCTCCTTTGGAAAACCCGGGGAGAAAAGTACATCATGGGCGCATGAGCAACAAATGTTGGGAACATTTGAAATCTATGTCGTTGGTGGTTTTTCTTCGTGGCGATTTAATGGGATTGATGGGTGATTTAATGTGAATTTATAGCAACCGGGATTTAATGGGATCTAGTGGGACTCAAACGGCAGGGAAAATTTGTATATGTAACCAACCATAATGGGATGTAGTGGGATATGATGGGAAACACAACCAACTTAATTTAGCGTATATTATGTATATACACACAAATTTAGATAATTACATATACATATATAAATATACATGTATATACATATATATATACATATACATACACATATGTATATATATATGTGTGTGTGTATAATGGGCGTGGCACCTAAAAATTGGGTATGCCCTCAAATGCCAAGGTGGATTTTATAGGAGAAATGACAATAAACCATGGAATTTGATGGTCACCCTATTTTCAGACAAACTTGTATGGTGAAGAACTAACATGCGTAAAACTAAAATAAGGACTAAGTTAAATTCCAGTCTTTGAGCTGAACATGGGCCCGTTTTTGTTTGGGAGTCTGTTGCAGCTGGTCTCAAAGAAACTATAAATCATGTCAGGTGATACCAAACTTGAAAGTTCGCTTAAAACTAGTTGAAACTGCTTCTTTGATCATCTTGCTTGGGTTTTTGTTCATTGAAATTTGCTGTATAGCTAAAAAATGCTCAGAATCGCTGATATTTTTTTTGGTGCCGGTCAGTTCCAAGATGACACATGGAATGGACAGTCTTGGGTTTCCGTTTGGAAGGTCCAATGTTTGGCAAAATCCTACGGCCCAGATTAGGGGACTCAAGCCGGGATGGTACCGTTTGACTTCAGGGGGAGTTCCAGAATGACATGAAACATGGGCCAGGGAGACTCAGAGACTGACGCCACATGGTTGGTGCATGGTGAATGACTGGTGACTGATTGGTGAAGGTGCGCTAAATCCATGATGA